TCATGTCATGTGTGATTCGACCATCTTGCAATATTGGACGTTTTGGACAGGTTTGTCACATCCAGATCCACCCAGTCTGGTGGTTTCGCTTATAGAGTTGGTATATTTCATATTTCATCCTCAAAGAAACAGAGTGTAAAGTAACTCGCTGGCATGTTACAACGAGCGTTTCTATTACACTTTTTTACCAACCCCATAGCTCTCCTTAATACCCGACCCGGTCTGCTTGATCCATTCTTCTTTTGCCTATTTGGAAAGTGTGAAAAGCGGTCCAGGTGTCCCACCAATTGGCAAAGCTCTACCTTTTTATCATTTTGCTCAATCACCTTTTTACGCAGTTCTACAATAAACGTCAGTAGGTGACATTAGCAAAAGCCAGGGTACGACACGCACCCTCCATATCTTCAAGCTGCTTTTCCCCCCTCTCAACCGTCTTTTGGTTTCCCCATCGTTGGTTCTTTTCCGAAACGTCGTTGATGAACGTTGGGTCTGCAATAGACCTTTTGTGTGAAAAGGAGATAGTTAAATGGTGATCTCATATGAATACCTGAATCCCAGTCGTCCTCAACCGAAGGTGTGGGCTGAATCGATTGTCCTGTAGTCGATTTCCACATTAGCGACAAAAAGCTAAAGGTGAAAAGTCCAAAGCCACGATGAGGGAATTCCGGTATCCCTCCTAAACAATACAAGTTCAGATCCTGAATGTTCCCATACCCAAAGATGCTATTTTTATGAATACGTATTAAAAAGAGATCCCCGATTGTTGCCTTGCTACATTCTGAATTTGTTATTTAGCCTATCGGGAAATTACTCCAAATGTGCATATGTGCGTTGAGGGTCCTCTTGCGGCTTTGGCACAAACGAGTGGTATTGGCGAGCTGCCTAGTCAGAAAGGTTCCGCCGATTGGGATACTTGGCTTTTACATATTTTGGCGTCAATTGCTGTGTTGGGTTTTCGCACATTCGTTTGTTTTTTTTGTTTTTGGATGGGGAGCTTGGATTGATTGGCAAGACAAGTATTGTTATTTTCCAGCCTGATTGTCGAGCACTCGTGAAATCGAGCTTGGGGGAAGAAAAGGATACCAGCGTGCTTGATCGTGTGTGCGCTTTGGGTTTTTTCCCGCTTATCATCAATCGTGCTGAGAGAGGGTCCTGCCCTATTGTTGTGTATTGGGCAGCTGGTTCCTATTTGGTGGGTTCCAATTCTCCCCCTTGTTGCAAAAGATGAATTCTCAGCGTGCCGGGTAAGTTGTTACATATTGTCAATTAGATTCATTGCATCTAACAATCAGGGTGCCGCGCAAGGTCCCAAGACCCCTTTGCCCATCCCGGCGGCCGCCGCAACGTCTTCGGGAGCATGCCCGTCTCATCCTTTATCCACGACCTGGACCCACCTGACTATACCGACGCTGAACCAGAAACCGAAACCATCTACGAAGAGTCCCCAGCATCGTCTGCCCTCCGTAGAGACCTCGGTGCCCCTCGTCGACCCATCCCGCAGAGTCCATCATTCGACCGTGTTGCAGAGAGGTTTGGGATGAAACGAGGTGACTCAGATGGGGGATTGGCTGAACCAGAACATGCGAGGAGTTCGAGTATGGATGCGCTGAGTGCTCGAGAACAGGCTTTGAAGCAGAAAAAGGGGGGAATGACGATTCGGCAGACGATTGTTAAAAAGGGAGGCAAGTATACCTTTACCACCCATCTCGCACATCTGTTCACTCTCTCATCCACCCTTTTGAACTCGGTAGACTCGTTAGCGTCCCTCTTCCGCCTAGCAAAAGGCCCACTCTCGGCGGGTACCGAAAATGGAACGACCCTCTCGACGCCTACACTCCACCAGCCTCCCTCAATTCCTTCCGACGACCGCCGCGCAACCGAGGCAAATCTCTCTAGCTCCACGATGCGACGAGGCGGGTGGGGTGCCATTATGCGGAAAGCAACACGTGCGGTTACGCCAGAAACGACGCAGGTGTTTCCGGGGCTTAATATGAGGAATATGGCAACGTTGAAAAAGAAGGGTATGCTGTTGTTCCTGTGTCGTGGGATTTGTGGTAGTTCTTGCAAAGAGTAATAATGAGATGATAGGTTCCACGACGTCTATATCTGGTCTAGCTAATATGGGACGAAACTCGATCTCCCGAAACCCGTCATCATCCGAATTCGGCGAAACAAGCACTTCAACAAGAAAAAGTGATCATTCAGATGATCTCGATGATGGTACGTATCCATTATACAAAATCACGAGTATAAAAGACAATATTCATAAGAATTCTGATATCAGACCTAGATTCAACCGGCGAAAGTAGCATGGACGACCTCTCCCTCTGGGTCTCAACCACATCCCTCACCTCCCTCTACACGCCCAAAACCCTCCAACTCTCTGTCGAACACCGTGCAAAAACCCTTGCTGTCCGCGTTCTCTATCACGGAACAGTCGCAGACGCCATCCAAAGCATTTTGATCGATTTTGCGCAAGCCGAAATGCACCAGCCTAAAGACTGTAAAGAAGAGGCCGTTGATAGGACTGGGTACAGGCTTTGCAAGCTGGATCGAAATGTACCTGGTGTGAGGGTTTGGATGGACCCACAGGCTATTTTGGGGAGTTATGATTTTATGCAGGGGGTACGTTACCCATCCCGCTTTCTTCCTTCAAATCATCCCCTTCTTATACCATTATTTCTATTAGGACGAAGTGCGCCTTAAACACATTAACGACATTGAAACTAGCACCATCACCATTCCCCCCTCCACCACACCCCACCATTTCGCATATTCTTTCACCGTCCTCGTCAAAGACGCTGTCGCGCAACTCCGGGAAGAGCATTTGACAAAAGAAGAAAAGTATGGATTATACTACCCGAGATTGGGGATTTGGTTGGATGATGGGCGAACATTGTTTTCCTATGATTTGCAGCAAGAGGTACGGTGATCTTTTGTTTATCAGGACTCTGGGAGTAGATTTTTGGTAAGTTAACCTCAAAAAACCATCAGAAAAATCTGGAGCTGCGAGCGCTTGCGCATCAGTTCTTGTTGCGGATCTATTTACCAGAGTTTGACCAAAAGATTGCACTCAAAGTCCTGCCCAGTCTACGTGTCTCTGGTAAGGAAAGCCCACATATGTAGCTCTTGTTTATTCACTTTTATCCTAACTAATCGATATAATTAAAAACCATCCAAGACGTGATTGCCATGATCCATTACCAGCTCAGTAACCGAAAATTGACCCTCGGACACCGCGGAGGGAAATACGGGCTCTTTATCCCTTCCCAAAATACATGGATGAAAGAATCTGTAACATTGGGTGAATACGCAACAATTCAAACCGTGAGTCTTCTTCTGAATTTATATATTAGACCATTTCGTATATGAACGCATTGAATACAGGAAGATGTTCAATACAAACTCCAATACGAACTCGTATCCGTTCTCCTGGACCTCCCACACATCGAGTCCGCCCCCATCAGAATCCTCGTGGACCAAACTACAACTGTCGAGACGCTTTTGGAGACAGTTGGACTTGTTAACCCCGATGCGGAAGCCGATGTTTATTGCCTGTTTTCACCAGCTGGGGATCGGTTGAGTGATCGGGATATTGTTTGGACCGCTGTCAAAGATTTTGCGCATGAGGTTTGTTTCTAGTGTTTATCTTTTGTCTTTTGGACCGGTGAGTAAAATCAACAAACGAAACGCTTTAGGACTCGTTACGTTATCGCGCCATTCCAAAGCGCATCATCCTGTCGAATACTGCCGACGCAGACGTGAAACTGGACCTTGATATTGACTTTACGCTCCCCTTGTCTCGGTCGATACCGTTCTTGTGTCGAAGGTTTGGAAGGCAGGTAGATGAGGTGGATGGAATTGAAACGGATGCAGGTGTCGGTACGTCTCAAATCCAAGTCAATTTTGGAATAAGAGAAAAAAAAACCGTAGCACTGATGCTGGTATTCTTAGCCTTGGACGTGACTCAATCCCTTCAAGACCAGCACGTTAAACCCGGTACACAACTGTATCTCCAAGTCACAAATCGTCATATCCCAGTAAGCACATATCCATTACCATGGGTGATACACGGCCCTAACCTTATTAGATCCAGCAAACCCAGGGCTCACCATCCATGTGGGACGAACCCGACACTGACGAAAATATTCAAATGATGAAAGACCCGTCTGGAGTGATGATGGTTGGATCGGGAACGTTGAACAAGTTGGTGGAGAGATTGACGGATGAGCGGGGAGAAGGAACGTCACAGTGTAAGCGCTCATGTCATATTGAAAAATGCTTTGTTTATAACTGTTTCTGGTGAGAGCAGATTTGGATTACGTCAAAACCTTTCTCCTCACATATCAATCCTTCACAACGGGTGCAATTCTCCTCCGCAAACTTATCGAACGGTAAGCACAAAAACTCACCGTATTTGCAAATGTCTCCAATAACTAACTTTCTTGATCAGCTACCACGCCCCTCGCTCCCGAAAAGCAACGTTTGCCTCCTACGACCATTTTCGACTCACGATCCAACTTCGAGTTTGCAACGTTATTCTCCAATGGGTTAAACGCCATCCGGCCGATTTCGTCGTTGGAAAAGACTTTTGGGCGGATGCCATGCGGTTTGTGGAGGATGTCCTTGCGTATGATCATCCGAGTATGGGGCGGCAGATTCGGAGGAATTTGGTCAAGATTGTGCGTTTTTTACTGTTGTGTCCTTTTTTGACGTTTGTTACTTACGGCTTTGTGAACTTCGTAGAAGGATAACACGCACCCAGCATTGGTAAAACATCTTGTTCTAAAATCCCCACTCCGAGCCACCGACGGCGATCCCCGACGTTTCAACGTCTTCCGACATCCCCCCGACGAAATCGCCCGACAATTGACACTCATTGAACATGCCTACTTCGCTGACATCCTGGTAAGCACACGCATAACTGATCACATCGATTCGGATAGATATTTATACCCTATTTCTAGCCATCCGAGCTACTCAATCAAGCATGGTCAAAACCCGATGCGCCAACCAAGGCACCCAATGTCGTCGCATTGACGAGGAGATTCAATGCAGTGGCGTGTTGGACCGCAAAGGTACGTGATTATCCCTTCACCGTTTCATATGCAGTTACTGACCATCCTGTAGTCCATCCTGGAAATGAAAACCCCACGAGCAAGAGCAAAACGCATTACAGGCCTCGTTGAAATCGCCAGTGTACGTGTACCGTTCTCCACTGCATCCTCAACATACATTAACAGCTCCCCTTACACAGCAACTCTTGACACTCAACAATTTCTCAACCCTCATGGCCATCATTGCTGGACTCAACAAAGCGGCCGTGATACGCCTAAAGCAGTCATTCAAGGAAATCGGATCAAAGACACTAAAAGTAAGATATATCTGAATAAGATTAAAATACTTGCAAAACACTGATGGGAAACGTACGCAATAGAAATTGACAGAGTTGGAGAAGTTGATGACGGCTGAAGGGTCTTACAAGGGTTATCGGGCGCACATGAGGACGGTTGGTATGCCCTGTATTCCATACATGTAAGTGCTGGTTCAAACAATTACCCTGGGGCGGATCTGCGTTTGGCAAATGGAGTCACTCACGCTAATCGGTTTATTTCGCTTCCCATTGGCAATTGTTATGTTCCATAGCGGTATGTATCAGTTTGAATTCCAACGCCATGTACTGACCATTTCACTCATCATCTTTATTATCATTCCATCCCAGGCGTGTATTTAATCGATTGTAAGTTATCTATACATTACACAACTGCACTTTCCCGCAATTCTAACATTCCATCAAACAGTAACCTACATGGAAGATGGAAATCCCGACAACATTGGCCCCCGAATAAACTTTACCAAACGGCTCATGATCAGTGGAGTCATAAGTGAAATGGTTGGGTACCAACAAGTAGGATACAAGGACTTTAAGCCCGTCGATGAGTTGTATCAAGTCCTTGCGCGCTTGCCTGCCGCAACAGAGGAGTACGAAAAAATACTATGGAGTGAGAGTAAGAAACGAGAATGACGGCCGGGCCACACTATGGTAAAGGGTGGATGTTTTTTTACCTTGGCATGTCGCATAGTCCTTATATATCTCGCTCTTCCTTCATAGGTGGAAGGTTCTTGCGTAGAAGATACTTCTCTTGCAGGTCAAGAGGAGACGACTCTTGCGCTACGCGTTCGTCAATGGGGACATAATTTCTGGGTTCTTCTCCCTCATACGCCTATCATAATGATGTATATAGAATATTGAAATGCGTTGTAAGCTCTTTAATGAATTGAAATCGTAGTCTATAACAGATTAACCAAACCTGCTTTGGCCGGAAAATGGGAATGGGGTTCTATGAGGGTGTCAAGGTTGAGTTACGGTGGCCCATTGAGCGGATATGTTATGATTGTCAACGTACCTGTAGCTGTTCGTGCCAGTGTGCTACGTCGGAACAGTCAGAAATACATGGGCAAGCGATTAAAGATCATCATTCAACGCCTACCTAGCCATCCAGCAGTCCGGGCAATGCAGAAGAGTACGGGGAAGAAATCAGTCTACCCAAGGCGATATGGACTGTGAGAGACATGTGCACAGTATCTGAGATGACATGGAACCTACCGGGAAGCCCATTGCTTTATAAATAATTCCACTATCTGCAGGAGAAACGTTCATGTTACTTAGAGTCACATGTCTCCTAGCTGCGAATTCCATCCAGCCGTCTTACAGAAATCCACGTTTGGATATAGGTTTCGCTTGATAAAGTATTCTACAAATATAAAACTCAATATCGAGCACACGATACAGCTCAAAACGTAAAGTGACATTACCATCACTAAGAGCAATTCTCTCAAGTTCAATCGCAACGTCAATCAAGTTATTGCGACCCATTATTTCAAACACCTCATCCGCAATCTATGTATTTCGCCGCTATCAGTACCACGTCGTGGACTGCGACACGTAAGAGATCTAACCTGCTTCAGGATCTTGGCACGAGGGTCATAGCTCTTGTATACACGGTGTCCGAAACCCATGAGTCGCCGCTTTTTCGCTTTGACCTCCTATGCACAAAAAGTGTAAAGCGACTGCAAGGCTGACAAATAGAGCCGTTAGAACCGCGCACCTCAATAAAAGCGGGAATGTGGTCGACAGATCCGATCTCTGCAATAGTATCGATGAGATTTCGCAAAGCACACGCTCGCCAATCATGAAGGCATACCTTCTAGCATCTTCAAAGCGGCCTCATTGGCTCCGCCATGTGACTGAAATTTGCATATTCACGACTTTCATCATCCCAAAGATATTCGAGAGACAGAACACCTACCGGTCCATACAATGCCGAAGCCGCCCCTATGTAAAACTTTAGCTTGCTAGCGACCTCCCGTAACATACCCTGGAAGCTTACCTGTCAAGCAGATAAACGGGTCAACACCCGTTGATGTCATTTGTCGCATCGCAGCTGTACTACAATTCAGCTCATCTAACAATAGTCTCTCGTCAGCAATTCATGATCACAGGATGGAAAAATGGTACACATACGATCGGCATGTAAAATAAATATAATGTCTAATGCACGTGAAAGTCGAGGGTTCGGTACATAATTGTTCTCTGAAAGACGATCCAACATGTAAAGAAAGTTTTCCGTATATCCAAACTCGTTAGATGGAGAGTTGTAGGCACGTCCAATGCGGTGCCGATAGGCCTGGCAATGTCGATGAGTATACCCCTTGCGAGTTTTACGGTAGGCAATCCACTTACACATGCTGCCAGGGTAGGAACTTTGCCGAGACACCGAAAGATTTGCTTATTGACCATATTCTCGTTTTGATAGATATGCTATATCAAACCGTAAGACGGGGATACGGCTGGCGGTAGTAATCAAGTCAACTCACCTCCCCTTGCAGCGCCGTGTTGGCCTCCGGATGGAATGTCGACATTGCCTGTGGGCGGTAGTTTATATACGGCTTCTAGCATTCGTAGAACGCAGGAACTACCTACCGCAAGTGCTGAAGTTACCATACCCATAGGATGAGCATCATACCGGAAGCTCTGGTGTCAGAAAGTAGGCAATGAGTATGACCGACTCGCCTCGATGAAAGTGTCAGGTTGCGTACCCTCAAGTAATCAATCATGTTTTCGTGAATAAAGGTGTGTCGCATGATTCGGGTCGTCCACATCTGCAATCGTGAGAGTTAGCTATATAATAGATTGCAACAAAAGTGAGAACACAAATGTACATTTAATTGGTCAGCTGTAGGGAGATCTCCGAAAATGAGCAGGTAGGACACCTCGAGAAATGATGAATGCATGGCCAGATCCTCAATGTTATATCCTCTGTAGCGGAGTATTCCCTATGAAATATGGAGCAAATCAACATATGCTTTGAATGGGTCCTGGAGCACCAAGTCAGCATACCTTATCACCATCAATATAGCTGGAAATTGAAAAGCAGGGTCAGCAGTCCATTTGGCCTTGGCGAGATCAAAGAGCAGGCGCACCTGATGGAAGACCGACAGACGGCCGTGTTCAAATAGCCATTGTCATAAACAGAGAGTCCAAGTTGAGCAAAGATGCTTGCGTCGATGGTATCTTCTTCCACTGGAATCATGTGCTTTTTCCCAGTGCGGTGGTCAACGACCTCCAGGCTGGTACAGAGACGGAGATGACAATGAGAGATCACCACAGTTCCTTACTATCTTACAATATACATACAAATGCTGCTCCGGATTAGCGGAACGATGCACAGACATTTCGAGTTGCTTCTCCTCTGGTAGAGATCGTGGTATTTCTTCCGAGAATATAGGTGGAACAATCAAATCGTCCCCAATCTGCCAAAGTGTTGAGTCCGTCCCAAAACTCGACATGTACCGTGGAAGACACGGGTCCCAGCTGTATTATCCAACGGGAGATGCAAGTGCAGTAACGCTAATGACAAACCGTTGGGCAGTTAGCGAGTCTTGACGATCCGATGCTTAGTAGAGCTACCGTACCGCCGGGCACGTTGCCGACGATCAAGGAGCGGCAAGGGCTCGTCAGCCGTCGCTGTTTTGACTTTTAATCTTCTGTGCAATCTCATCCCCAAAGCAGTCTTTACGTTACATACTGCTGAATGCCTTTTGCATCATGGCTGCGTTTCCCAACTTTCGCCGAATCTATCAAGACTTTCGCACGCCAGATGAGGAAAAGTCAACCGCCAACTCTGCAGTGTTTACGTTCTGCGCATTTTGCGTCATGTGTGCTCTCATGACAGCGGCGAGGAAGGCTTCCTTTGCCGGTGCATGACTTATTATCCGGTCGTCCTCGGGTTGTAATGGAAGAGCCATGCAGTGGAAGATTGATTGCGACCGCCTGAAAGCTCTACGGTACCCTGGCATAGCTGTGCGGTTTGTAGTACACATGAGCCACCTAAGGCCTATTTGATGAAAATCTCTCTGGGCACGCTTTCTGCTTGTGGATATGGTTATACCATGGGTTGCAAACGGTTCTTGAAGATTCAAATACTATTCTCTCCTCGACACGTTAAAAAAGACCCGTCGCCATTATGTGTATGGTTCACCGCTCATAAGTTCTAAAGTCCCTCCCATGTCAACTTTAAGCATTAGCCTACATGTGCTCTTCCTGATCCAAAGTGTTGGACGTCATCCTAGATTGTAATGTCGCTAATTGAAAAAGGATAAAAGTGTAAAATGGTCGCCGTTGTGAGCAAGCGACTAAGCACCACCAGCCAGCGCGGTCGCTTCTCGTGGCCCAAATTTTTGGGAACTCGGGCACCCGTTTTTCCCTTTGCTGCTTTCTCCCAGCTCCAAATTGCCATTAAGCAAGGTAGTCTTTCAGCAAACGCTAGACTCGCGTGACGCTGTCACGGCGAGAACAAAACATTCAAGTTTAACTGAGAAGATACTCGGAATACACCTATTTTCATTCCCGCAGTTTCAGCCAAGTTTCGCTGAATTGTAATTTACTTGGACCGACTGCGCGATCGCAATGTCGGCAAACTCTCCATTCAGGTACGTTTCTCATCCCTCAAGCACCACCATGCGAGAAGCTATGGTTTTGCATGTGGTTTAACTCTGCATATTCTTGGATCGACAGGTCACTCTCCGTCCAAAAGCTACAAGATGAGTTACGGTTTCGAAAGGTTCATTGTTGTTTTGCAAACAGCTATCATCGAGGATTTTTGGAGACTGAGGCCGTTTGCTTTTCTTTCTCCTAGTTGCCCATAGGAGGGACGAAAAGTGTGCTAGTTGCGCGGTTGGAAGAATACGAGGGACAACTAAATGCGGATACAGCATCAGAGGATGACTCGGATAGAAATGCAAGTAACGGCGCTGCGATAAATCCTGAAGTGGCTGGAGATGCTATTGAAGCTCGTCGAAGAGAGCTTGCAAAACAACGAGTTGGAATATCCATATGGAACTCGCCGCTAGTAATCCTTAAATACCTGATATTATATATAAGCGATAGCCTCGTTCTGGGATTGCAGACCATGGTCGCACACGTATGGGTCGTGGTAGCAATGTTGTGTCTGTTGGTGGCGGGGGTAGCAGTATACCTTGCAGAGGGGCCACATCAAGGGGTGAGCTGTGTTGGTTGCTGCTAAAAAAGAATTTGCCTAACCATCCCGCATCTATAGACTGTTGCGGTATTGGAATCTCAAGTCTTGTGGTACGGGTGGTGGTTAGTGTTGGGAATCGCCTCATCTATTGGACTGGGAACTGGATTGCACACATTCGTCCTTTTCTTGGGTCCTCACATTGCCCATGTTACTTTAACGGCATACCAATGCCACAGTCTAGACTTTGAAACTCGAGGGCCAGATAGGTATTTACCACCTATCGAATGTGTTCAATGACATTCTACTGACTCCGATCTCTCGTAGTTTTATTTGCGAGCCATCGGTTGGTCAAGCCGCCACTGCCGCTGTCACTGTATGGCAAATTGCAAAAAAGGTTCGATTGGAGAGCTTTTTCTGGGGGTTGGGAACGTCGATCGGAGAGTTGCCTCCATATTTTGTTGCAAGAGCCGCAGCCGCAGCGGGACGTGACGATCAAGGATTTGCCAGTATTGAGGGCCTTCTGGCAAGACCAAAATCCGAACGGACAGTTGGGGAGCGTGTACAAGTGGCCATGTACAATCTGATGCAATCGTTAGGCTTCTTTGGCATCCTGCTTTGCGCGTCGGTAAGTTACTGGACTATACAATTTGTGGCGTTCTTAACCCGATACTTATGATCTGGTGCAGATTCCGAACCCCTTATTTGATCTCGCGGGCATTGTTTGCGGGCATTTTGGAGTTCCGTTCATGACATTTTTTGGCGCAACGTTCCTGGGGAAAGCAGTCTTCAAAAGTAGCATACAGGTTCGAACGACTGATTTCTCTTGGTTCTTCGCGAGTCCGGCTGACATTTTGATCACAGACGATATCCGTAATTTTAATGCTTTCGGAAGACATTTTGGCCTTCATATTGACGGAGCTTCAATCTTATGCACCTACATTACATGACTTCGTGCAAAAGCTCCTGGACGAGCAAGTAAAACGATACCAGAAACGGCCAGATGGCGCTCATGAATTGAAGGTATATAAGCATCACATATCGGTTTGTTTGATGCTGTACGATGCTGAGTAATTTGCCCTGTAGCCTTCCAAATCCAATTATCTTGGCGCTCTATGGAACGCCCTTCTAGTCTGCATGATTGGTTATTTTATTGCATCCCTATTAGAATCTTTGGCGATTGCCCAAATGAAGAAGGAGCATGAGCGAGAGCTGCAGCGACTACAAAAACGGGCTCTGAAAGAGGTATGTGCAATTTGCAAGTCCCTACCACTAAATCCATCATCCTGTGCTGATGCTGACGTTGCTAGCACCGAAAACAAGTACAAACAAATACAGAGTCGGCTACTAAACTGGAATAAATGCATCAGTTTGAAAGAAAGGAGTGAGAAGTTTTACCACATAGAGGAGGGGTTTGGATTGTAGCGGAGGCACCTAGTGCGCTGAGGTTTATTTTGTTTACTTTATTCTCGTTTACAACCGCAATTATCGATCTCGTTTCATTGTGAATATATAGACTAGCCCATTCATGGGTATACAAGGAAATGTTGAATGTGCGTTACGATTTTTTTGAACGCTGGGACACTCCTTTCAGGGCGTGCCCTGTACTCGATGATCGGGATATACTGGCTGCTGTGTACCCATCTATCTAACCTGATCTATCAACCATTGGGTGCGCCATCATCCGCTGTTTCCATACAGATTCGGATTGGTCACCGGAACGAAAAGCAGCCCAAAAAGTATAATCCCAAGGATATACGACCCTATCAACACTGTTGCATTATTAGCGAGAATCACCCAGAATGCAAAGATATCTAGCGAATACCAACCGGTTTTATAGCGCGGGTATTCATCTATTGCCGAGAAATCAGGGAAGCCCATAACATTGCAAAATATGTGTGAAATGGTTGGAGCTACAACGTGGCCAGTTCTTAGAAAGAGGAAGGTTGAAAACCAGCCGAACAGCGTCGTGTAGAAGAACTGAAAGACTGAATCCGGAGGGTGAGTTGGCGAAGATGCATGTACAACCAGGAAATATTGACCAGTAGAACAGCACACGCACCACCGGATAACAGCGCTTGCTTCAAAGCACGATTTGTTCGCCCTAGTCTGTTGTAGACCTCGTACCCGTGATGTATATGGGCTAATAAACAATTTAGCGATCAGAATGAGCCTGACATCCAACCAAAGTGGTCCTGGACCTACCGATACCAAAACACAGGGGGAGCATGAAAACAGTCGTCACCGTTTTAAACCCAGCTGCTTGGAACAATGGGACCATACAGGCACGAAAGACAAACTCTTCTGTCAACGGCCCCTAAATTGATTCCTTCCATCTTCAGTTGACTATATATGCACGGGATGTGACGAGTGGAGTAGCGATTGCCTACTAGCTTGCGAGTGTCGGATCCTCACCACTATGTAGTTCCTCCAAGCCAATATGTCGTTCAATTTGTCAAACAGATGTTCTTGAAAGGAAAACTTTCTTTGAAAGGGAAGTGACTCGGCAATAAAGTCGACAGCGAGCGGCCCGAGGAAGAGGGTCATGGTAAGAAGTAAGGGGAGAACAGCGGCTAGTAGAAAGCCTTTCGGTTTAAGTCCAAGGTGAGCAAGTAGCACTGGTAAACCCTGTGGAAGTGTGAGTGCTTCATCGGACCATATCTGCGTCAACCTAGTTTTCAGCTACCTCTGTCCCAGTAGGCACAATGCCCACTGAACTCAAGACAAACCCCACAGACACGAACCCCACAGCGCATGTTCCAGCGGCAGCCATGAACCTCCTACGCACAACCCGTGGGTCATCTCGCGGGACCTGTCGTGGAATACCTCCGCGAAATACATAGAAAGAGCCGACGAATGTGAGTGTGAGGAGAATGCATGCGAGTATGCTTGTTGTCGCGGAGAGGCGTTGCGAAGCAAGATCCGCGTTGGTCATGATCTGTTCATGCTAATGCTACCTTTGTTTTCAGAGATGGCTTTATTACAGTGTTGTGCCCTCGTTAACAATTATTAAACTAACTAATCGACAAATGCCTATACTTTAACCTATTACCCTCTTTTACAAAGAACAACAATAACTAAATAGTATTATACCTACGACGCAAGTAATATCTTACAAATGCTGGTTATACCAGGCAACACACTGCTCAAATGCATCCTTTCGAGCTTTCTGGACTTTCTCGTCCTTGTCATTACCCCGGACCGCAAACCCATGCGCCATCCCTTCATAGCAAACAAACTTGTACGCGGGGCCGTTCCCAGTCTTCACTTTCTCTTCTAGTATCTCCTCGCTCGTTTTCCTGTCCGCCGCACTGAAGACATTGTCATATTCTGCACAGAGGAACAGACCGGGCTTTGTGATTGAGTGTATGTCGGCGGGAACGGAAACTCTGCTAGGGTGCGCAGCGACAAAGCATTTGATCAGGTCCCCGTGGGATTGGAGAATCGTGTATCGACCTCCCCAGCAGTACCCCACAACCCCGATATCATAACCGTCGTTTTTGAGGCCACCGAGAAACGCATTCCCCAATGGCACAATCTTTGAGTCCCCATTTCTCGCCATGAAAGGGATCCCAGATGGGATCACCTTGAGGATAGCCAGTCCACGCTTGATCTGCTCTCCAAAAGTTTTAGGTTGTTGATAGTCGAGGAGGTCATCACGACCTTCGACTGATATGGCAGTACCCGTGAAAAAGTCGGGAAGGTAGGCGGTGTACCCTGCCTATGCAAGATGTTAAACACCTCAATGGCATCAAACGGGCAAACCGAATCCTACCTTGGCGAACGAATCAGCAATCAGTCGTAAATTGACCAGTTCCCATCCGAAAACATCACTGTAAATTACAACGGCCTTCTTTGGCTTTTCATTTTCGGGAACAGGACGAGCAACGTAGACGTCTAATCCATGGAGCTTTTCGGTGGTACCAGTTGGTGTGCCTTCGTGAAGGAAACCAGTTCTGCAGCATTCGGGAAGTTCTGACATGAGTGTTTACTCTCTAGTCGTTCTGTTTGTAGAGTCTTTGGAAGACAGGGAGAAAGCTGTCCTCGAATGGCTCTTTTTATACAGTTGCAAGCTGTTTGTTTTTAATGCTGATCTTAATGTACGTCATGTGATCTGTGCCATATCGGAGTCCCGAAGGTTGTGTCACCAGCTAATAAAACTAAATAGACTAGCAAATAGATGGTGAAGGCGCAGCGTGCTTTTTGGTATGGGGATGAGCAACGTTTCCTTGTCTGATTTGGTGGAACACCTTCGGCATCCGGTGTGGGTCCGACTCTCGAATGGGGAAAGTTTGAATGGCTACCTCCTGAACGTCGATCCAGAAACTCTTCACCTCATCTTGGTGCAAGTAAGGAATGCGGAGCCCACCCTAATTAAGAGATAAAATATCTCAAAAGAAACTATCGTTCTAGAAAAAACCGACCGCAGACAATGAAGAGGACGACGGTGAAGAACACGACTCTCCAGGACACGCCCGACCGATAGGAGGTCCGCCACCAACCCCAACAGGACCAGACCACCAAATAGTTGTCGTTATGCACCATTCCATAACGGGGATTGAACGTAGGTGGACAGGTAGTTGGCACCTAAACGATGCCCTTAACAAAGACTTGTTTTTCATTTCCAAGCGGACCTGTATAGCGATAATGGACCAGAGCCTCTTTCAGAAAGTCAAGTCGAAGTGATCTTGAACAAAATATCGCGACGGTCCTGTGGAGATGACGCACAAGCAGCTGACGGTTCTTGAATGCTGTAATCTGAGCATCTTGACGGCTTATTTTGAGCAAGTTGTTCTCCAGTACACATAAACGTCGTAGGTCATTACAGATTGAGACGCCCAGCAACGGGTGAGGAATGCCATAGGATCCGCAAGCTGCATGGCAAGCCGGACATGCTGCTACAGTACAGGATGATATCGGCACATTCCCAAATGCTGATAATATCTAGCAATGACTAGGTACTCGTTTTCAATCATGTCTGCATTGTATTTTTCTTTAGAAGCCTGAAGTAGGGTGAAATAGGGGCTATATATGTCCAACAGGTAGAGTCCTGTATAAATTGCTTCCAGACTTGAAATAATTTTATTATCGAGAGATTGTACCAATGTTCAATCTGGGACGTTGAGAGGATATCACAGTTTATACTACATGTGGCTAACAGAAAACAGGAATGGTCGTCATGCAACTTCAAATTAGCCTCACACTGAAGACGTAACCCGGTTCAGACTGAGAGCTTACGAACAGCCCAGATAATTTGGTGCCTTCACCGGGCATTAGAACAACTAGACATGCGAAACATAGTAATTTATTCAACCACAAGTGTATATAACATCCACCCTCTACATACTTATCCAACTTGTTGGTAGCGCTCCGCCACTATCCCGACTGTAAAAGATGTGAGTTGAGTGGGTACATATGGTCAGTTAAAAGGTGGAAAGGGCGCATACCTTGAACAACAGAATGGCGATTTGTCCGAGATAGAAGTAGATAAAGTGCTGCATGCGGAACAGAAATTATTCATCATCCTAAACACACGACATGGCCAGTTGGTAAACCAAGTTTATACCTTGGTCTCATGAGTTACGTAGGAACCAAAGTTTCGTCCTACGATACAGTGCCAGGTGGGGTTGTACTTTTTGTCAAATTCTCGCTTGATGAAGGCAGCAATATCTTTCTCAATGTTGTATTTCTCCATTGCTTGGGTTGCGCAGTCTACTGCGTCTTGTTGCATTTCTTCGCTCATGTCGGCGTTCTTGATGACCGCTTTCCTGTCTGACATGTTGACGGTGTCTGAGAGGGAACGGAAGAGGTTAGAAGGGGTCGACGTGAGAGCAGCGGGTACAGCCTAGCAGTCGTTCGTGACGCCGTCGCAACAACCGGCGATCAGAAATCGCAAGCTCGTCCTAGGCTGGATCCCATCCGCTAAGCCGAGGTGTGCCTGATCCACGCGACGTACCTTGCGCAGAATCAGGGAGAAAATATAGGACGTAGAGAGGTACAAAGACAGAAAAGTGTCGAGACAGAGGCTAGTAAACCAAGAGGTGATCAAGTGCTGTTCTTGCTGACGACGGGTCCCAGTGTACAGTCTCTTTGAGAGGATTTACGCGATGTCCCAAGTGAAGCTCTGTGCAGGCGCGAAGCGGAGTTGAACGCCTGGACAAGGAACGGTCTGTCAAATTTCGAATGCACATGACTGTGCCATCTGTAAACCAACCGTGCCACGGCGGGGCCATATGCTGTCACGCACGTGATACCTGTGGAGTCATCCAATTCCCGATCACCCAACTTGCGCTTTGGTCTGCATCTGCAGAACGAAACATTGTAGGAAAGCTACAGCCGAGTTCTGCCTATGTCCTTGCGAATTAGATGCAGTCAGCAGCAGCGACCTTTGACGGTCTAGTGGTGGAGTTGACGAAATGTGCTCCTCCAATCGCCGGTCAAGCTAACCAAGAATCAAAGAGAATTTCGATATTGGGGGATCTAGTTGCGCTATCATATCCAGTGAAGGCCTGTTCAGCGGAGGTGGGTGAACACAGGCATTTTGAATGCAAATTGTTTAGATTACCTGGAATGTGGTAGTGGAGATCTGTAGTATATGCCAATCATGCCAACATCGCCTATTTTGCTGCTTTCTGTTCATATATTTTATGTTTGAATAGAATGTCCGAAAATTGGTAGTTTACGGTCGCAAGTACTGGAATCATCCACCGGCCAATGGCCTCTTCACTGATCTGCTATTCCAGCTATTTAGTAAACAAAAGGTTCTTCACGACCCAGCGTGGTGGATTTCACGATTGCTCATATATGCTGAACCTTTACTTCATGAAACAAAGATCAGCCTACCTACCCTTGACATACAGCAAGAAGTGATAGGGCAGTGTGTAGATTTCCTACTGTCTGCCTTGAAAAGCACAGGAATCCCAGGAACCTCACGGATTGATGGGGATTTACGATTGAACGTGCTGAGGACACTGGGAACTGTATTGTTTGAAAATGGAGCGGCATGCTTTAAGGTCTGCTTGTAGTGACTGGTTCATTCCATCTACAGCATAGCTCAAGTGTGACCGACTTTTTGTAGTCTCATTCTGCACTCCTGAATGCCCTTACTCCACTGGCTTCAGAAGGCAGCACTGATGATGATCCTGAAGTACGCCGAATGGCACTGACGTGCCTTGGAAACCTTTGTGTCAAAACCGGCACGAAAGGTGCTAATTTACAAAAGGAAGTATACAATATTCTGATGCGAAATTTAGTCGGCGATGTTAGTGAAGAGAACACGTCCAAAGTACGCATTTTGATTCAGAAGTGTAGGGATACGATCTACCTTCATTATTTACAGGAGGGTCATTTTTAGGTGGTTAGCAGCGCTCTCCGAGGTCTACAGCTACTCATTAACGAGAACAAAACACTTGTCCAAGATTCCGCGCCCACTCTGCTCTCATTTCTGCAGCAGTACGGCTTAGCTCTGCCAACGAATTCGCACTCCTTCACAACTACAGCCTGTAAGCATTCCAGCCCACATATGGTGTGGTGATTCCTCAATCAACCCATTACCTTCGTAAACAGCTGCCAAATTGATCAAGAAGCCGCCACGGAGCTTAATGACCATCCCATCAGACTCTGAGTTTTCCGATGGAGAGATCGGCCTGCCACGAAATCGGTAAGGTTTCGCATATGGACGGCCAAGCAACGTACACTTCGACTCACAGCTTCTCTTACCGGTCAGGCTCCGGGACAGTCGCCTCCAATTAAACGCCATACTATGTTTGCAGGCCCTTGCCAAGGTATGAAGAGGAGACGATGAGGTTATCCGATATTCATTTCTCTTACTTCCCTTCATGCAGGCACAAGCAAAGCTTGTATACCCGTATTGGTTCAGATTCTTACCAGATCCGGTGGAAGGGCCTTCAGCACCGTCCCTCATATCAGTTATGCGGGACAGTGAATCACCAAAAGTGCGTCATGCTGCTTGCGCAGCATTGATGGCGTTTCTAGAGGGCTCAAAACAGTATCTGTCTGTCGCAGAGGATAGGTATGTACTCTGTATTGAGAGAAGAACTCACATTATGACTATATGCGAACGCCAGAGTTTTAATCTAGCATTCGCGAGTAGCACGATCAAGACAGCGTTTACATCCCTTTCCCAGAAGCTGGCTGAGCAGCTACGGGAAATTCACCAGGGCTTGCTGAAGGCCGTGAAGGAAGAAACACAGCCTCTGCTCCTGACACAAGAGTTGAAAGTGGGTGGCTAACATGTTTCACTTTGGCTGACTGGCGAAGTAACATTGGTTATACTTGGGCTCCGTAGTGTTTAGGAGTGCTAATCAAGAACTGCACATATGATCGTCTCCGTCACAACTATAGACAGGATGCGTATGATGCCGTTACGAGTCGCATAACGCCAGAGGGTAAGGCTAGCTTCAGCGTGTTGTCATGTCGCATCCCAGTTAATTTATATTTTGCCATAAGATTTTGGCATCACATCATCTGTATTGGAATGCATTGCTGCGTTGTTGGACGCCGGGACGCCATTATTCTCGACTCCTCAGGCGGACGGTTTGTACGCATTGTTGGATATGGTAATGGCACTCGCCAAGAAGCCCGAACACATTTCAGTACGTGTTGCAGCCCTGGATGTGCTGTGTTCTGTAGCCAGAAATGCTCCGGATGTCATTGGGTATATGGCGCGCTTGGAACTCATTGAGAAACGGCGCATCGAGACTCATGTTTGATGATAGAGCCAACTGGTCGAAATTGGTAGATATACTCGTGGATGCGGAAACCGATGCCAAGGATGCCGTCAGGGCGGCTGCTCTAAAGCTCCTAGAGCAATATACCCATTCTTGCGGTGCGAAAGAGGGTGTGCAGGTGAGTGCATTCAGAATTCAAATGGCTGGAATTGTGCTGGATTTTGACAATGATTTTCAAGGTACCACCATTAAATTGGTGGACTGATCTAGTAGACCATCATGTGCAGACCGCGATTCAGGATACGTTCTACGCTGTACGGTCCCTTGGTTGCGATTGTTTGTCGCATTTCCCGTCAATTATATTCGAGAACTTGCCAGTAGGTTGAAGAGACGGTTCTTACTGACACATGAGTACTGGCCTAAATTGTAGTATCAGCCCAAGAGACAGTATGCTTGTCTGGCTCTTGCATTAGGAATGGTGCAGGATGAGGATCACACTGTACGGGCAGCAGCGTGTCGCACATTGGGAGTCTACGTTAGTCATCCCGCCGTGATGGAGGTATGATTATCGGAAGCGCCTGCATGATTTGCTGGCACAATCCTCATTATTCAAGATAGGATGTGCTTTTTTTGAATGACGTGGCTACGACAATACCTCAACTGGCTACCGATAAGAACATTAACGTTCGAATCCGAACCAGTTGGGCGCTGGCGAATTTGTGTGATGCCTTGGCATCGGTTGGGTATGTATGCTGTATTATCATTGTACGGTTACTCGCAAGTGGTTTACACCTCATGCACAGAGAGAGTGCGCAAAAACAAGGTGTGGACCTTGCAGAAGTAGGAATTACACATGAGACTGTTGTAGAGATTATTCGGGCAGGTCTAGCTGCTGCAAAGGACAATGACAAGGTACTTGTAAAGTGTTGTCCCCGTGAGATGTTCAAATTGGACTTAGTTGCAGTCCAGTGTCGATCGAATGGCGTAAGAGCACTGGGGAACATTGTGCGAGTGTGTCCTCCCATGTTATTGGTGCGGGAAGCCGAAAGATTAATCAAGGAAATTGTTTTGGTTGTCCTGAAAAATGTAGATTCTGGGTCGGTCAAGGTATGCAAAGCCCAAATAGTTCCGTTCGTCAGTAGCCCGCATTGAGTTCTGACATTGCACAGGCACGATGGAATGCTTGTCACGCTCTTGGGAATATGCTAAGAACAGATGCGTTTCCTATTGGCCGAGCCAGTTGGACAGATGCCGTATACGAGTCTCTCATCGGAGCAGTTGTTACTTGCAAAAACTTCAAGGTCCGGATCAGTGCTGCTGCTGCGATTGCCGGACCCACGACTCGCGATCGGTATGGTACCACTGAGCTCGGCGCATCTAGAAATATTACAAAGTCCATGCAGGCCATGGTAACAGGATTGGAGAATGCTAGTAATCTTGATGATGCCGCTTTTGGAGAATTCAAGTACGGAGAGCAACTGTCGGATCAGGTGAGATGACAATTGACAAATCTAGCCGTGCGGCATGATCTTAATATTTTATTTTAGCTGCAAAGTACGTTGACACACTTGCGAAATGTGTTGGGCGCAAATGATTTGGAGATAAGAGGAAATGAAGGTAGAATAGAAGCATAAATTTTGTACAAAAGCAACAAAAGAATGATGGCTGGCCAAGCGCTTTGGTCATGCGATGCGCAGACCGGTTGAACTTGATCATGGAACTGAGCCACGACTTATGACTCAGTGGGGGATTTGGGTCCTTTTGATATGGGCTTTTCAAGTATTTGGTTCATGCTTCTCATCACAAGATCTATATTGGCACTCAACCCGAGTAAAACTTGTACACGAACTGGGATTGCTGCGTTTACCACCTTCGTGTTACCGCAATCTACTAGTATCATTCCATCCTTGACGTGTCCAGCCATCGCAAGCAAAGGAATGGCCACCGCTACAGCAACGGTCCCAGTGCCACCAGTGGCAAAGAAAGTTCCCTACAAGGTACCGTCTACGTTGTTATAAAGAAAAGATGCAGCTCTTCTCATATTAATTTTACGCATAGCACAAGTATTTCGGTGTTGAATATGACGATCCTTACCATTGGCTGAAAGATATGAACAAGGAGAAGCGCTCCGACATTATCGACTACCTTAACGAGGAGAATGCTTACGCAAAGACACTCCATCTTGAGCCCAATGCCAAGCTGATCGACACAATTTACGATGAATTCATTTCTCGCATTCAGGAGGACGACTCTGATGTTCCGGTTTACAAAGAGCCCTTTTACTACTACAAACGCACAGAGAAGGGGAAACAGTACTCCATTTATGCCCGTAAGAAGGGATCCTTGGACGCACCGGAAGAGATTCTGCTCAACCAGAACGACTTTGACCACGAATTCCAGTCACTCGGGTTTTACCGGGTCAGCCCAGATCACAGCATTTTGGCGTACAGTTTGGATACTACCGGCGATGAAATCTTTACAATTTACTTTAAAGACTTGAAGACTGGGCAGCTTTTTGAGTCGGATACCATCAAGGGGGCCTCTGAAGAAGCAGAATGGACAAATGATAACAAGGCGATCTATTACTCGGTCTTGGATGAGATCCACAGACCTTACAAGATTTTCCGGCATCAGCTTGGAACCCCTTCTGAGAAAGATGAGCTCATTTACGAGGTAGAAGTCGCTAGAAACAGGTTCCATCGCTGTGTGATTGCTCACTTTTCAATTCCCGCTCGGTTAGGAAAAAGACTTGAAGTTTATGGTGGGATTGGAGAAAAGCAATTCGCAAAAATTCATCTTTGTATCTGTGGGGAGCTCTTTAACCAGAGAGACCCATATTCTCGACGCGGACGACTCCAAAGCCAGTAAGTGGTCATATATGATTGAGTAATGTATGGTAGAAGTATATAACGAGGGATCTGCAATAGAGCTCCGCGTGTTTCAGCCTCGGCAGTTCCGTCATAAGTATTCTATTGACCACCAAGGCGACAACTTCCTGATTTTGACTGATGGTGGGGGCAAATATTTGAATTTCAAGCTCTGCTCTTGCCCATTGGTTAGTTCCTCACTTTTGCGTCCGTTGGCGTCGTCGGAAATATTATATCTAATCACATTATCTATTTGTTAGGACAAGACCGACGCTAGCAACTGGGTTGATGTTCTTCCGTATGATCCTTTGAGGCATTTAACTGGCGTACAGCCTTTCAAGGGTTTTGTCGCCCTATATGAGCGCTCAGATGCCCTCAAGCGTATCCGCATTCTTGAAGCCAATGCCAAAGGGAACGTAGATGGCTCAGCATCGTCATATTACCTAGACTTTGACGAGGAGCTTTTTACGGTTGGTGATGCGGGAACATCCAAGCAGAACTACGATTCAAATATTGTGCGATTCACCTATACTTCGATACTTACCTCTCCGCAAGTCTTGGAGTATGATGTGAAGCAAAAGGAGAAGAAACTGCTAAAACAACTAGAAGTGCCCAATTTTGATCCTTCTCTCTACGCGATGAAGCGCATCTATGCTCCCATCCCACCGGAAACGGCGGCGAATGCGCCGTTCGATACTCCCACCCCGGATCGCATTCCCATCTCGATTGTCTACAAAAAGGACTTGTTCAAGGGCGATGGAACCAACCCGGGCTATCTTTACGGATATGGGAGTTATGGTATATCTATTGATCCCAGCTTCAACTCGAAGCTCTTTAGTTTTGTGGATCGCGGATACGTATACGCTATCGCTCACATCAGAGGTGGCGGTGAAAACGGTCGTGCATGGTGATTATGACGAATGCATTGTTATTAAATTACCGTGAGACTGACTTCTAATGTCCAGGTACGAGACCGGAAAGTTCAAACATAAGCGAAACACCTTTACCGATTTCATTGCCGCCGCCGACGAGCTGGTAAAACAAAAGTTCACCAGACACGATATCATGGCGATCGAGGGCCGTTCCGCAGGCGGCTTATTGATTGGTGCTACGGTCAATTTCCGACCTGACGTAGCAGCTATTGCTGTGGCCGGTGTGCCCTTTGTAGATGTAAGTATTATGTAAGATCTGAGCAGCATATGGAGACATTCCAACAGGTCCATAGGTCATCAACACCATGATGGACGAGAAGATTCCATTGACTGTGAACGAATATGAGGAATGGGGAAACCCCAATGAGAAGGACTTTTTTGATTATATGTTGAGTTATTCTCCTTACGAGAACCTGAAGAGTGGTGTACAGGTACCCGTTTTGTCTTGATGGTTGTACACGCTGTGCAGTGTCTCACATGCACCATTTAGTATCCTGATATGTTAGTCAAGGCCGGATTAAACGATCCCCGTGTACAATACTGGGAACCCAGGTAAATTGTTAGAAATATTCTCGGCATCTTTCGACTTTGGTTGATTGCCCTCTTTCCAGCAAATGGGTTGCAAAGATGAGAGACCTGGGGGTGGACAAAGGAAAGGAGGACAGGGTAAGTGCACATGACCTATTCGTCGTCCTGGGTACTTGATAGTTTAACTATAGTGATGACTGATTAGGTCATTGTGTACGATTGTAAAATGGGCTCAGGTCATTTTGGGCATTCCGGAAGGTATGGGGAGGGTTGGCCGCGACATGAGTCTGCCCAGAAGAGTACATGTCTTAACTTTCTTTTCAGGTATGCCTATCTCAAAGAGGTTGCCGCCGATTACGCATTTGTGATCAATAGACTCGAAAAGCGGATCAAGGCACAAAGCCGCTTGTAGGGTAGCCATTAAAGAGACTTCATGCATAGATGTAGGTGTAGATGACCCAGGTAGACAGGGCCTAGAAGCAATGGCATCATGAATCAACAATTTACCGTCATTGCGACGAGCATACTTCTCGGTCGCAACAATTTTTTATGAATCTTGACGTAAACATTTACTATATATCTCATAGGATATTCTCGCTGCCCGGCGAGGAGGTAAGTGTTTACTGGGTGAGATTCCATCCACATCGTAGCTACAGATGAAGACTCTTCAGTATGAAGCTTGAGGAAATGGAAAGCATGATTCCAGTACCCAAGCTTGCGATAGAAGGTGATCGCCGCCTCGTTGCTTTTAAAAACGGTCAACATGGATTTCTCCATATGATATTTTCGACCGACTTCTTCTAATATTCGCATGAGATGAGCTCCTAGACCCTTTCGTTGAAAGGAGCTTTCTAGTTGAAGTTCGTAGCTGTGCCGGTCGATTGTTAATATCGTTGCAGTCGGTCACGTAAATGAACAGTCTGACAATTACCAATAGATAACAGGGATTTGCTCGTCCTCTTTATCATCACTTGAATCCTCTCCACTTTCAATATCATCCGCACAATAATCCTCCATCACGAACTGGAAATAGAGGAACCCCGCTAATTGTCCGTCGGAAGCCTGAGCGATAAGATACATCGCATGTTCTTCACTCATTTCAGCCAGTTTGTCTTCATCAGACCATCCTGTATCTTTTGCCGCTATGTATCTATTCAGCATAATCCATCAAAAGGATGTTCTAGTAGGTACAACAAAGCGTGTCCACTCTTACTGATCGTAAAGGTTGCGTTTGACGAGGTTGAAGGCCCATTGGTGGAGATGAGAAGGAAGATTGCAGAGAGAGTAGAGTGTTATCGTTATAGGTTGGCTGTCAATACGTGGAAGGAATAAGTCACCGCTTTCCAACGACAAAATATTGGACGGTAGAGCGAATTAACAAACCCATTCGTCGGATAGTGTAGTGGTGTAGTGCAACCCAGTAACCAGTTATCCGCCTAAGGTGTTGCATTAGTTCAATGTGGCGGCTGAGCGAATACCAAAGACGACAGATGTCGCATTTATTTTATATATCTGTTCTACATACTTCATTAGCACTTTGCACCAAGCGCTTGCCATCGAGTCTTGTCATTTCGTTCTGTGCCCAAGCACACAACCTGTACAGTAGAAGGAGGCTTAGCTACGAGCATCTGCACGTGAGTTCAGTATAAATGAATTTCACAGCCACTTGCGATAGGTTGGTATTTCAAGTGAATATCTTCCCAGGGCAGCAAGTACGAGACCAGCGCAATGTCTATCGAGGACGAGGAACTTGCTGAGGACGCATACATTTGGGCAGAAAACAATCCGCAACGCAGGGTGGCGAAACTCTTGCTGCGAAAGTTTACCTATCAGGTTTGGTTGCTATCAATGGGTATTCGTCGTGGGAATCACGTTCAACGCCATGCAGGAGTTGCAGACACTACAAGATGCTTTGATTGCTAAAAGTGTTGACGAAGCATACGTAGTGTGCGCTTTAGATACTCGCAATTTTGCAAGCTGGCTCCGGAAACGGTGTACAGCTGCAAGGTAAGCATTGCTCCCCTGGGGTCAACAAAATCCAAACGCATAAATTACTGAGACTCTGATACAGGTTCTCTGAGACACTTGATGCACTTTGCAGCTATCGTGGACTTGATCCAGTACGCCTGGTGTGATAAGAACCTTTGTCCCCTAATGATCTAATCGGTGTTCCCCAGACGTCTGAATTTTACTTGTCCAACATCGAGTCGCCTTACGATTGCCAAGAGTACATGAGCCTGCTATTCGACGAAGAGAAAATCAATGGCTCTTTGGCAAAATACTTGGATTGCGCGGGAAAAATTGGACAATTTGGAAAGCTGAGAACTGCACTACGTTCAAAGGTTGGGTATGATGGACATAGAGGACGATATTATCATCTAACACCTTTGCGACAGCCAAAGTGCGTTCACAGGATTAGGTACTCTCCCAAATCACTACGGCGACGATACTATTACAGTGGGAAGCCTTAGCTATTACTTTCATATCGGTAGCACCAACGAGACACTTCGTATTGACAGTCATGGAATGTTACCTATTAGTATATTCTCTTTTCGTCGCATTTAGCAATAAATATTCGCAACGTATATTCGCAGTCATATGCATACAATCTCACAATGTAGCAGGCGATTTTCACAAGGTTGTGCTGACAATGCAGCGTCCAAATCGCAATGGTGGAAGTGCTTATGTGCATATTAGCAAATGTACGGTCGGCCACAGCCGCGATGATGCGTTTTGCGTAATCTCAACATGATCTGAAATACACTCCTGTAGCGTACTTGCCAACAACAATCTTCTGTTCCGCTCGAACCTTCTTTCCACTTCCAACCTCAACAACACCGCATGGTGCTAATTGCAACCGTCCTGCATTTTCCGACACCCACCCAGCTGTCATCTCGATGGGGCCAGTTCCCAACTCTTCCTCTACCACACCCAAGGCAGCCTCTTTCAAATCCTCGACAGGGTCAGCGAGATGGCTGTATGGTATTGCCTTGGGATATATGGGTACAGCGCTATTCGACTTCTTTCCGTCACCACGGCCTAATTGCTCATTTTTGTTACATCCCCACACCAGGACATCCCGACCATACTCCTGGGGTTGTTCCGGTACGCTCGGCTTACTACCGAACCAACTCCGCGGAGACTTTGTCGTGTCGTCCCCAGTACCGTTGTCTAATACCGCAGCGCAATGTGATCCATTTGGGCTAACGGCGATCGCATAAATTCCGATGGGTCGAATACGGCGAGCGATTTCATCATATTCGGAAAGGTTTGATAGCGTCTTGATGCGCACGGGATTTGCTGTCATGTGCGAGTATGATCCATTCCCAAGTTGTCCATGAAGTCCTGTTCCGCACGCAAGGACGTCGGTGGACTCGACACGATTCACCACGAAAAAGGATGTGTTGCCTCCTGCGGCGATGTCTGTGCATGCGGCATCTAGAGGCTTTGCACCTCTGTTAGGCGGATTCCAGATTGCATCTACCTCCCGGGGTACCGCCAGGTAAGGTTCCTTACTGTTGTAATCAGGTTCGGATGCCAATTGCTGTCAACGAGAGATCATAAATATCGGATAGCGGACACACTAAAATACCTCAACCTACCCCGAAGCCATTGGCTCCGAATGCAAAGACTCGTCCATCTTTCGTCCTCACGAGTGTGTGATTCTCTCCGCACGCAGCTCGGTCGAAAGCCATGTCGTCCAGTTTCGACACGAGATTGAATTTCACTGCCCAATCAGGATGTTCATCATTCTCCTTCAACAGAGCAGTTGGTAGGTCCGCATGCTCAAGGCCAAGCTGCCCATATTGATTGCCCTTGATGTCGGATGGTATGGTGAGAACTTTGCCGCGACTTGTGATTGCCACGAGATGATGTGCACCAGAGGCAAGGGATGTGATTTTATCGCCTCTGGATACTTCTGACGGCAATGTGAGTTTCGTTATGCTAGGAGCAGATGCCTTGAGCGGCCACCATCCTCGTGAAGTAGTCTGTGCCTGATCAGATGAAACGCCGTCTGCACTCCCGCTCCCGTTGCCACTGAAGCAGAAGACCTCTCCAGATCGCGATAATGCATAGACCTTGTTATTGGTGCATGCCGCCTGCACAAGGTCCTGACCTTTCAAGGTGACTTGTGGTAGGGAGGACAGGCCGTCAGCGGTAAGAGGTGCAGGAGAGTTTGAATGCCATTGCCACAAATTTCCATCCAAGTCGATCGCGGCTGCATAGGTGTCGCCAAGTACTAGGTCCCTGAAAACTTTACCAGCAAAAAAGCGAATGTTCTTTGCTGAGGAGTGTTTCGTCTCAGAGGCAGAGTCAGTACCCCAAACATAAACTCCCAGATGCTTTCTAGCGTCCGAGACTTGGTCTTTCTGTTCTACCGATACAGGTGTAACACCCCCAGGAATTTGAGGCCTTTCTGACTTTGCTTCCGCTTCAGTATGAACCGAAAATGTAAACAAACAGACGCCTACTCCGGCGCCAAGAATGAAGGTGATGATACGGAAGGTACGGGGACTAGGTCCTGTAAAATGTGGGTGAGGGGTCGGAGGAATGTCGGACGGTCTCGGCGTTGTACCGCGCGGCTGGGGTTTTCGCGGAACTGGTTGAGTGGCCATGAAGCGATAAGTATTCGAAAAGCATGGCTGATATTGTCGGCCGCAACGACGTAATACTGCACGAAGCATGCTGTTAATCTTGGTAGCCTTGCAGATCTGAGATCTGGACGCAAACCTGCTCAGTCTGAAATATACAGGTGGCGCAGCTGTTGAGTCATCATTCCGATCTCGTCAGTTGTTTTGGGCAACTTGCCTTTGAGCCTTTGAGCGAATTAGCTCCACTACCCACACGATATCTACGGTTCTCTTTCAATGTTACAAGACCGGCCTTCCAGTTAAAATGAATACGCTTACGGCCATCCTGGTCGCACTTCCGCTTTTGGCTGTGCCAATTCCGTTCCTCTACGCACGCTCTCTGCCAGCCCTTAAAAAACAGGAACTTTTGTACAAACTCTTCTGCTCCCCACTGGGATATTACATGACGTTATTTGCACGAGATCCCGATGCAGTGCCACATAGACAGGTGCGGAGTGTCAATAAAAAGGATGGACAGGTCAAAGTGGTGCCTGTGCCCTATGGAGAAGACAATTATGGGTATATAATTGTCAACGATGCAGGTTGGTTGAATGGTTGTGCATCTTGATAGTTTTCGAATGTTAACCATATTTGTAAAAGTCGCGGTGGTAGTAGATCCTGGAGGTATCAAAATCTTGCCATAAGATCTAATTAAGACGACTCTAATCTACCTGATTGTAGATGCCCACAGGATTCAGCAAGTGCTTCAAGCGGAAGCGCCAAACGTCCAGTTACATGCTATCCTCGTCACTCATAAGCATTGGTATGCAATAGGCGAAAAAATTCAAACGCATTTCGAAGCCGCTTGTCAATACTCAATCATTACAGGGATCACACTGCAGGAACCGCCAGCCTAAAGGCCAAACACAAGAATGTAAAAGTTTATGGAAGCACAATAGACTTTTCAGACTCTTGGGTAAATTGGTGGTGGAAAGTGGATCATTTTGTGAACGATGGTGAGACCATTGTGGTAAGGTGCAGGATGGATTCCCAGGCCGGAGCAATTGCGAATCACTGATGAGCGATGTAGGTGGGCGATATGCGATTCCGTGTGATTGCTACACCATGTCATACAAGGGGTATGGTCTTTGCTCTCAACGTCTGCAGGGTCAACGCTGCATTCGAGGTTACTGATGAGGTTGTCATGCTGGCAATGCGACAGGCAGCGTCATGTATTTATTAGAACCAAGCCCTGGTGATACGGCGGGTCAATCTAGACAGCGATCTATAATTTATTCAAGTGACGATGAAGATGACGCACCAGTAGCCCCTCATACCGCTGTTGAGGATGAACCATCATTGTTCACAGGGGACACTCTTTTTATAGGAGGTTGCGGTAAGTAGCTTTTGAGCTGTTCTTGAATATAAGCACGGCTCGTTTAAATGAACATGACTTAAATCAGGAAAGTACTTTGAAGGCGATGCGGTTGATATGTACAGTGTCATCGAGAAATTGAGACCGCTGCTAACCGCGCAGACCCTAGTTTGGCCCGGACACGAGTGAGGAATCGTTTTACTTTCAACCGTCAGTTCTGGTGCCGGTCATTGCTGACGCAGTGTGCGCGTTCATCGCAGATATGCAGAAGCCAACCTCGCTTTTGCTCGCGAGCTTGAAACAGGCAATATGACCCTGCAGGTATTTGCATGTTTCACCAGTACACCCATCTGAATGTTGACTCAAGTATGAACGCATGTGGAACATTAGCTCAAACATCAAGAAGCAAAAGATGCCACTTACCATCGGTACGCGACGGTTCCCTCCACCTGGAGCGACGAATCTTCGTATAATCCATACCTCAGAATCGATACCCGTGCAAGAAGGGGCGAACTGTGGCGGAACGTGCTGCGAGTGGCCGAGTATAAAGATAGGAAACGTGTAGAAGCCTCAGTACGGGAGAAATTAGGCGACACGACCGAAAATGAAGTGGCAGTCGTCATTGGTTTATTGAGGATTTTAAAAGATGGGTGGAAAGGACCTTCTACATAGAGAGCATTTGTAAAAAAAACACATTGACACTCAAACGTTAGTACTTGACAACCTTAGCCTAGCAATTGGCTCAGTGGTAAAAGGCTCGAATGATCACCATTTCGAACCTCAACTTGCGCAAATTACAGTCACTCTAGACAAAGTTTTCTTGCATGGAGGTGATCTGGCTGGTCTGCACCTGCAGACTTGACGATTTGCTATAGAAAAACGTGTCCGTTTGAGGCGCTCTGTGACATATCACCGGCAGAGCAGTTATAGGTATGACGCGGATATTTTTTTCAATAAGTGGCCAGTCACTGTTGTTGTTGGTTCAATATTGCTTCCAATATTGCTCCCCAATAAAAGTCCATGTAGCCAAACTACCTTGAGATTAAGTTAAAAAACAAGGTTGAATTTAAGATACGTTCTGCATGTGGAATTTAGAATGGGTCGCGTGTTACACATTTAAACTCAGCGTGGCTTAGGATTTATAAACCCAAAAACAGCAACATTCGCCCCTTATTTGTTTCGGATCAGCAGTCATCACCATTCAAAGCCCCCCCTTCCTCGCGTGTTTTTCCCTAACCCACCTGCCCTCTCCGCCGCCCTTCCCCATTTTTACTACGTTTTTGAGGGGGTGGAGATCACGCCATTGAGGTTGTCCGTCGTTCTCTTCCGTTTTGCGAACTCGCCTTTTTGCGGAATCTCTTTGAAACGCAAGCTGTCTGAAGATCACGATTGAAGGAGGGTCCGGTTGTTTCTGTCGCGTCCGTTGGAAGTCACCATGTGGGATCAGTATGGTGGGCATCAGCAGGCGGTGGGTTATGGGGACCAGAAGACGACATTATGGATGGGTGATTTGGAACCTTGGATGGACGAGAATTATATTAGGCAGCTTTGGTAAGTGGGTCCCCCGATCGGCTGATCTATACTCGTGTCAAAGGCACGTCAGTACACTTGCTGATTGCTGGTTTCTGTTATGGTACAGGATGTCTTTGGGAGAGACAGTGAACGTGAAGATGATCAGAGACAAGATCACCGGGTATGTAGTACCTGGCTGGGAGCCGGCTTTCTATCGTTGACATTACTGTATCCAACCGGGCCAAACTGACATGCCTGTCTAGAGGAAATGCGGGATATTGTTTCGTAGACTTCATGAATAACGGTGCTGCTGTTAAGCAATTGAATAGCGTCAACGGAACATTGATTCCAGGAACAACTCGGATCTTCAAGCTGAATTGGGCGTCTGGCGGAGGGTCAGTGATGATTTTCTTATCTTCCATGTTTTGGTGGTTGAGAATACAGGAGCTGACTCAAAGTTTGTAGGAGTGATGACAGGGGACCAGAATACTCAATTTTTGTGGGTGATTTGGGGCCGGAGGTGACAGATTTCATGCTGCTGGTACGTCTGTATGAATCGAGCGATTCGGCGGTGGTCAAGCTGATCCTCTTGATTTCAGTCAACGTTTCAAGGTAGGTATATGACCTGTAAGTCTGCAAAAGTCGTAACCGATCCGAGTACCGGCATGTCACGAGGTATGTGCTTGAGAAATCTGACTTGTTGGGTTGCCCTCACGATACTCAATTGTTGCGTCTGCGACAGGATATGGATTTGTCCGATTTGCCGATGAATTGGAGCAGCAGCGGGCTATGGCAGAGATGCAAGGGCAATATTGTGGGTCCCGTCCCATGCGTATTTCGCCGGCCACCCCGAAAAACCGGCCTGTAGGGGCTGAACCTCGAATGGCGCAACCCATGCAAATGCCGCAGCAGGCCTATTACCAGCCTCCTCCACAGCAGCCGCAAGTACAGCCAGTTCAACCATATAATCAATTCAATGATCCAACCAATACGACCGTCTTTGTTGGCGGTCTCAACACGCAAATAACCGATGAAGAACTAAGGAGGTAAATATAAATTGAAGATCTAATGTTACTTTCCAGAGCACTGATAAGATTCTTTTATAGCTTCTTTGCTCCATTTGGTGAGATTATTTACACTAAAATTCCCCCCGGAAAGCAATGTGGATTTGTGCAGTTCGTGCACAGGCAAAGTGCCGAGCTAGCCATTCAGCAAATGAACGGGTTTATGATTGGTAATATACGTGACTTTAACGCATGCGTTTGTCTTGGCAATGACTTACACAGATTCCCTACCCATACTAGGAGGCTCTCGAGTCCGATTATCGTGGGGTCGATCGCAAGCAGCTGCTAAAGGTGACTATCGACCTCAAGTTGGACCGTACGGTCAACCAATGGCGATGCCAGCATCTCCGTACGGTGCGCCGGTCGCTCCGTATGGTGGTGCAGCGCCTCATGTCATGGGCGGGCCAACTGGCACCGCATCTCAATTGACAGAAGATCCGCTGCAACCTGTTCCTGTGGAGCGATCTAATGAGAACTACGTTTCGCAACAGGAGGAGCTCCTTGAACGGACTGATCTTGATAACGGATGGAGACAGCAAGTGTATGCACAGTGAGCGCGGGTTTCTCCGCGATAATGCTAATGGCAACTCCACGTGAACTGGGACTGTTTCCTAATTTCGGCGCTTTGCCATGGACGTGGGGTCAAGGTCTGGTCTTTTTGATTTTTGTCACTCGTATTTAGTGCATCAGCTTTCTTTTTTCTGTTGTGTTTTTTTCGGGGAGGTCATTGTCCTCTATTGTATTATACAGCCATGAGATGCAATAATATGGGTGCTATTTCCAATTGTCCATGTTCCTTTTTCAACACTTGTTCGATGATAACCGTGCTGTTCGCCGAGTGCGTCATGAGCAAATCCAAATTCCGCAATAAAAAATTACAGTTTTTGACTCGCGCGCGTGGATGGGCCATCCGTCCGCCTTCCGTTCAGACACTGTGGGGAGGCGTCATTTTCAGGATTCCAACCGGAAGCATTCCAAAGCCACGCGTGCGCGCACCTCCATCAACCATTGGCTAGATTTCATTTGAAACTGGGAAGATTCTCTCCTCTAAAACCTTAATCTTTACACGTGATTTTAAGTCCTTCTTTTGGCCACTCTTTTGCAGCTGTTTCGTTTTTTTTTTCTTGTTCAGAAGTGAACTTACGTTTATAAAAGCCGTCCGTTTGGGGAGGTTTTCCCGACACCTTTACATCACACGTGTAGCTGCTGCTCAAGGTTATTCGAGTCGACGCTGTGACGCTCGATTCAGCCTTTTTCCCTCGTGCGACATCTGTTTCCCTTTTGCTGAGGCAAACTTGGAAACGGTCGTTTGCAAGATAAAAGAGTTGTTTTACTCTTTACGAATGCGTAGTTGTTGTCGATACATGATTGCCGTCGTCGAAGCCCGTCACCTATTGCGTACCACGTCCGAATCTCCGATTGATTAACATTTGCTATGGCTGCCAAGAAGCAGCTAAACCAGGCCGGCGACGACGGTCTGAGGAACGACACGTACCTGTTGGATGTTGAGGAGGTTGTTCAACACCTCGACACCAACCTAGAAAAAGGTCTCACCGCTGATGAGGCCCAGAAAAGGATCTCAAAATATGGGGAGAACACGTTGGGAATGGACGCGGGTGTGTCCATCTGGAAGGTGTTTATAGCCAACTTGATCAACCCGATGAACTTTGTTTTGATTTTGGCATTGGCCTTGTCGTGCATTGTCAAAGATTGGGTATGTTCATAAAGTGTTGTCGTTTGTATGACTGGGTTCTGACACGCATTTGATGCAGGTTCAAGCTTCCGTACTTGCCGTGGTGATTGCTACAAACACTGCTATCGGATTCGCCCAAGAGTACAGCTCGGAAAATACCATGGCTGCATTGAAAAAACTGTCAGCTCCCACTGCCACCGTCTACAGATCTGGCAAACCCGAGACAATTTCTAGTCGTGAAGTAGTTCCCGGTGATATTGTTGCTGTGGAAGAAGGGGTAGGTTTTGATTTACGTACAGCGCTATGCTCGCTGTTGCAACCGCACATTGCTGATGTTTTCATCTACAGGATCAAATCCCTGCCGACTTGCGTCTATTTGAAGTGGTCAACCTCGAGATTGATGAAATGCTCTTGACTGGCGAGTCTATGCCCGTCCGAAAGATCGCCGACCCACTTGTTGCGCCTTCTGATGGATACATTTCAGTTGGAGACAGAATCAACTTGGCATTCAGCAGTACTACAGTCACTCGTGGTCGTGGAAAGGGTATCGTTGTTGCCACTGCCCTGCGTACCGAAGTTGGTAGAATTGCCAAGCTTTTGAATGATGGAGGAAACGCTGGAGGTCAGGAATTTGAAGAAAAGGATGACACCACCAAAGGAACTATTCTTCGGTTCATCAGAAAGCTTCCTGGGTTCAAGAAAACGAACAAAACGCCTCTCCAGAGAACGTTAGATCGCATGATGTTCTTGCTACTCGCTATTTGCGTGGTCCTTGCTGTGTTTGTGTTCTGGTCAAACGACTGGGAGTGGTCTGAATCTGTTGCCCTATATGCTGTGGCCGTTGGAGTCGCTATCATTCCCGAAGGTCTCCCAGCTGTTGTCACGGTTACCATGGCTGTTGGTGTGCGCTCCATGGCCAAACAAAAGGCTGTCGTCCGAAAACTTGTATCTCTCGAAGCGATTGGAATGGTGACCAACATTTGCAGTGATAAGACGGGAACCTTGACCGAAGGAAAGATGACCGCAAAAGAATGCTGGGTTGCCGGACAATCTCTCATTGTGGAAGGCACTTCGATCGATCCTACCAATGGTGGGGTCGCTCGTGATGGAAAGCTGTTAACGACTGAAGATATTGAAAAGGACCGCGTGCTTAATGAATACTTTTCGTGCGCCGCCCTTTGCAACCAGGCTTCCCTTACAGCGCCCGAAGACCCCACCAGCACTGACCTGTCCAAAACCACTTGGACCGGTATTGGCGATCCTACCGAAGTCGCTCTTCAGGTTTTGGCCCACCGAGTCCACATGGGCAAGCCAGATCTTTTGGAGAAGCTAAAGTGTACCTTTGTCGCCGAGATGGCTTTTGACCCCACCTTGAAGCGTATGACTACGATCTATGCGATCTCCAACAAGGAGGGTACTTACCAGCTTAAATACCACATGAAAGGAGCATTGGAACGTGTTCTTGAATGCTCTACCGGCTACTACGACTCTGAGGGTAACGTGCAAGACATGGACAACTCGATTGTCGAGCGTTCTCAGCAAGCGATGGAAGCGTTGGCTGACAAGGGTCTTCGTGTACTTGCTATTGCTCACCGTGACGAACAACATGGATCTAAAGATCTCCCTGTTTACGACGTGGTGAGCGACCGTCATCATGTGGAGCAGAATATGACATTCATCGGTCTAGTCGGTATTTATGACCCGCCACGTGCTACTTCTGCGTCGGCCGTCAAAGTTTGCGGTGAAGCTGGCATTGATGTGCATATGGCTACGGGAGATCACGCCAAAACCGCCACTGCTATTGCTCAACAGATTGGTATCCTGAAACCCGGCCAAGACCACCTCGTGTACACAGCCAACCGGTTTGATAACATGACTGATGCGGAAATCGATGCGATGCCCCAGCTACCTCTGGTGCTAGCGCGCTGCTCGCCTGAAACCAAGGTGAAACTTGTCGCCGCTCTTCACCGTCGTGGAAAGTTTGTTGCCATGACAGGTGATGGTACCAACGATGCCCCTGCCTTGAAATCGGCGGATGTCGGTATTGCCATGGGTCTCATGGGCTCTGATGTCGCCAAGGAAGCGTCTGAAATCGTTCTTACGGATGACAACTTTCAATCGATCGTTGCTGCAGTTAGGGAAGGGCGTAGGATCTTTGCGAATATTTGCAAGTTCTCGCTCAACTTTTTGAGTGGAAACGTATCCGAAGTCATTTCCATGGTCGTTGGATTGGCGATTCGCGGTAGCGATGGGGCTGCCTACTTTCCCATGTCAGCAATTCAGGTCTTGTGGCTCAATATGATTACCAGTTCGCCCATCTGTCTCTGTCTAGGTGAGTTTATACTACATCAATCACTTCTTGGAAGCAATAGCTCACCTTCTTTTTTAATCGCCAGCTCGTGAATTGGCGGCTAAAGACATTATGCAGCACCCTCCCCGTGGGCAACGTGCCATTAAAGAGCATCAGGATCGTATTGACAGTGGAGTCGACGCCGGCACTGCTGGCCCAGCCCCCAAAGCGAATACGTCCATTTTCACCAAGCGCTTCATGGTGGACGTGTTCTTCTACGGTACGCTAGCAGGTACGCTCTCCCTCGTATCCTTCATCATCTCCCTTGCCGCCGCGCCCAAAGGACTCCACGGATACAGCGGTGACCTTTGCGCTGGACACGACTATATTGAATCTGAATGCAAAGAAGTCTTTCAAGCTCGTGGCGCGGCCTTTATGGTCTTGAACACGATTCTTCTCGTTCATGGATGGAACTGCCGTCGTGAGAAGGAGTCTACCCTCTTTGGCTACGACTCGCATCCCAAGAACAACTGGGCCCTCTTTTGGGCTATTGTCGGTGGATTCGTTATCACACTCCTTACGCTGGTGATACCTGGCCTGAACACCAAAGTCTTTTCTCAAGAGATGTTTGGATGGGAGTGGGGTTTGGTTGCTGCATCGGTGGTTATTTTCTTGGCTGGTTCTGAGCTTTACAAGCTTGTCAAGAGGAACTTGGCGAGGAAAAGGGATTTGAAGCGGTCGGTTAGCCATGATTCGATCGAGATTGCATAGATGGGAAGGGATGGGGGTGGGGAGTCTTTACCAATTATATACTACGGAACTTACAGTAGGGGTGTATGTACACGACGAACTTTATGCAATGTGTTAGGATAGGAATAAAAGTCAAGGGACTATGTATTGAATGGCGCTTAATGATGATTGTATGGACATGAAAATATATGCCCCCTTGCCAGGCAATATGGATCCCCTTGTGGCATTTACAGCATCAAATCAAGGGCGATGACAATAACTTGTTTCTTTTCAATATCCGTGCAGGACCACAAAGATTAGAATGTGAAATTAGAAGAAGTTCCAAATGACCAGGTTAAATATTTTCTGTGTAGGCAGATATGCGAGGTAACCAAAAACAGATCAAGATTGAAACTTCCAATTCGAGAATATAGGAATCCAGCTTTGGCCATATTCTCACAATCCAAGTCTAGTACTTGGGAGTGCATCCTACGACGGGCTAGGGTTAGGGTAAAACCTGTAATACCGTAATATGATGGATATGATGGCTACCCATGCAACTTATCCTCTCCCCAGCTAATTTAACATGGAATTGCCAGATTATCTTTCTCGCTTCCAAAAGTTACCTTTATTACTTTTTCTCTCTGCGGCATTATTGTCTTTTCCCGCAATAGTCTTTGGTGGACCCTGACTGCACAAAAACGCTTTCATAGTTTTGATCATTCTGGTTAACTTGATTCTGATCGTTTTACTATTATGTGATTTTGTCGTCCCATTTAGGATTGGGGTACGGTTATATTTATTGCTTGTTTCTAGTGTGTCGTGAGAGGGAGGTGATGGGGAGGAAAACATGGGTTTGGGAGGAGAAAAGAGGAGATTATGAACAGCGATATGAACAGTAGTAAAAAGGTAAATGAAACTGGATATGACAACCCAATGCACACTCTTTTTGCTTACGTACCATCCTAGTTTTCTCGCATTTTCCGGAATGACTAAAAAGAAAACACTCTTGGGTTGTAAAAAAATAACAATAACCAAAATAGCTATGGTTCTAATCAAGATAGCCTTACAGAACGGGAGCATATTGATATCCTTGGGGAGATTTCAATGACGTTATGGGTATTAAAGGAAAAGGAAAATGTTGCTCAAAATAGTCACATATCCTCACATGCATTGTTTTCAAAAAAGCGGGGTGTCGATCGTTTAGATTGATACTTGTGTGTGGTTGATGCTCGCCTTTTTGCTTTTGAGACTTTTCTGACGAAGCGCGCTCTTGTTGAAAAGTGGACTTTGCAAAGGGGGGGTTGTCCCAACCTTGGTTTTCTTTTTGCCGCCATTATTGGCTCATCATCCTTTGTCGTTTCTTTTGGTTTTCCTTTTTTTTTATTATTTCCTGTTTTGTTCAACCTTTTGCAACTCCCCACAAGACATGCATAGATCCGGGTCATTTACAATGACCATGCCTGATGTCCGACATTCACTATCTACGAGTCCATCCCTAGAGTCTCTGGACTATGGTTCACATGGACGAACCAGTATATCGTCAGCGAGTTCCACACGTCCAAGAATACCCACGGACTTGTCGGCCGAGAAAGCCTTGGTGGATGTAGACCCTATCGCCGCGATCCGAGCCGTACGAACCAAACTCCGTACACAACCGATACAAGATCCCGAATTGGCTGAACTGGAACGTCAATTAGCACATGAGAGAGAACGGAATAAAGTGGAACGAGAGCGACGGCGGACGGAGCACTTGGAGGTTCATTTGGAGCGACGGGCGACGATTTCTGTTTGGCATAGTAAGGTTGTTGATTCCATGACTAAATTGAAGCAGTGGGAAAGGGATAGTCAGATGCGGATTATGAAGAGGGAGAGTGAGCGAGAGTTGGATAGGGAGCGATATCTTTCGGAACGGAGACGAGAGTTGGAAAAGAAGCGGAAAACATTGCGGAGACGAGCGGTAAGTCTTTTGATCAAGTGGACTAAGCCAAAATGTTGGGTAGTTGAGTGGTCTGGCTTTTGGGGGGTTTTTGTGTGCAGATTCTTTTTGCACAATTCCTCCTTTTAAGCTTGACCAAGAACTGCTTGTCAGCAGTTTCGTCAAAACAACAAAAGGGGAGAGGGGCTAGTTTTTGGCCCACATGCCGCCAGCACGGCTGAAGTGCAAACACCCCGTCACGGCTAGTTTGTATGGTGCCGGTCGACGCTTGCCTCCTCTATGGAGATCCAATGTGGGGTGTGCCCTTGCACACACAAGCCGAATACCTAAACCCACTATTGGACGACAAGGAGGGTTATGCACCAAACGACGAGGAAGGGGGGAGGGGTGTGGGTGGAATGGCAGGAACCGAAACACCTACCCGCCGCATGTCATTATCATTTCATTACCTAAAACTTTTTTTTTCTTCAATGACCTCTTTATTTTATCCTACCCACCACCATCATCATCATTACAATCGACACAAAAAGACCAAACGAGAGAAAAAGTACGTGCTTCAAACCGCGGAATTCTACGGCGCAGATTTTTCCGCCCCCACCGAAAATCCCGAAATTGCCAAACTCCATCACCGACATCCTGTGGATAAAGTCCAATTAGTCGAACAAGAGCGTGCTAGGGCTGCGCAAGGCAGTGTCTTTATTACTGCTTTGAATAATATTGCGTTGAGTCGGTCCCATGATTGGGCTGCCGGTGATGGAGGAGGAGAGAGTTTGGATGTACGGGACGACGAGAGTGGAGGGAAGCGAATGCTTGAAGGGGATAAAGGGGTAACGGGTCTTGCTCTAACGGGACTACTTCCAACAGCTGTCACATCACCCGTCCCGGCAGCTCCACCCCCACCTCCTAAGAAATGGACAGAGGCCATGCGTGAGCGGGTTCCTGTGCTGGACTACTCGGATGTGTTTCCAGAGGATGTGGGACGGAGAGAGGGTGTCACTGTTTTTCGTATCGAGTCGCTTAAACCCGTTATATTGCCCGATGACCTTTTCGGAAGTTTCTGCGTTGCGGATTGTTACATTATCTTACACTCGGTGCTTAAGCATGATCGACAAGCATGGATGTACGATGACGAAGGGGACGCGATGGAACATAAGATATGGGTATGGATAGGAAGCGAAGCAGAAGTCGATAAACGGTTTTGCGCAGCCATGTTTTCAACAGGACTTCGAAATTGGATTGGAGCCAAAGGGGGTGTGGAGCGAGTTTCGGATGATGATTCCAGTCCGACTTTTTTGGCCTTGTTTTCCGATCGATTTAGGACGGAGGATGCGACTGAGGCGACTGAGAGTGGGTTGTTTGTTGCGGAGCAGAAACGGTACCCATTGCGTTTGTACATGCTTTGCGGGAACAGGGATATCCGATTACGATTGGTAAAACAACCTTTTTTTTTCGCTTGCCATGACTCTATTTGTCTCTTATTGATACCTTTTTATTTTCTAGCGCGACCCAGCATTCTGGTCACTAAAATCCGATGCAGTCTTCCTCTTGGACTGGGGATTAGAAATCTTTCAGTGGAACGGTAGCAAATCCAGTCTCCATCAACGCGCAAAGTGCCGAATATTGACTGATAGGATTAACCGACTTGAACGAGTTGGCCGAGCCCATGTGGAAGAGATTGAAGAGTGGGGGGAACCACAGCGGTTTTGGGAGATTTTGGGGGGTGAGCGAACGGAATTGGATGCTGCTGAGGATCACGAAGCGGATGCTGCATCTGAAGAAGCCATGTTTAAGCGGATTGCAGAGTCCCCTGCGACGCTTTATAGGGCGTTTGAGGACTTGTCTGAGGATGTAGCGAGTCATGTCGTGTCGAATGGGAAATTGAAGAGGGGCATGTTGGTCTCGGATGCTGCCTATGTCCTTGATGCGGGAGTAGAACTCTTTTTGTGGATTGGGAAAGCTGCTTCGATGGATTTGCGGGCGTCTGCTACAGAACTGCTTGCGGTATGATTTCTAGAGTTTGTTGCTATTGCGTCAAGTGGTTTTTTGTCTAAATCGATATCTTTATAGAGGGTTGCTCCACTTCAGAAACGACCGAAATGGGTCGGCCTCCATCGTCTCATACAAGACCACGAATCCGAAGTCTTTAAACTCCGATTCCCAGACTGGGAAAGCACGGCAGCTGACGTCAACTGGGAGGAAATCAAGGACCAAACCTCTGGGCGGTTCAAACGATCCAAATCCGCTGGTGGGATTCGTGTGGATGTGCGGGCCCTCTATGCGAACCCTCCTCAAGAGTCGACTGTAACGGGCATTGAAGACACGATTGCACATGCTAATGCCTTGTTACAAACGTTTTCTGCGTTTGTGTACCAAAAGGGGCGGTTTGTCCAATTACCTGATGAGGAGCGTGGACATTTCTTTACGGATGATGCGTACGTGTTTTTATGCGTTTATCGGTTGGAAGAAGAAAAAGAGCAGCAAAAGCGGGAAGAACGGGAACGACGACGTACTGAACGTCGAAAACAAGGGATTAATGTCAAGCCTGCCACAGTTGCCCGCGAAATTGACCAAAAATTCCGGGAAGGTTCTGGACATCGTCGACAATCCTCCACGTCTTCCAACCCATACCCTCCATCTCCCACCACCACCACTTACAGCGAGATATCTGATTCCGATGACGGATGCAGTAGTGCAAACGAACCCCCCGAACCCTCTGTAGAATGTGTGGTCTACTTTTGGCAAGGACGTCTCGCGAGTCGATTAGCCTACTCTACCTTTATTTTCAAAACCCAGCAAGAAATGGAGGACCTTGTGCAAGACATGTATGGATGTTCTGTCCGGGTTGTGCATTTGGAGCAAGGGAAGGAACCGATTGCGTTATTGGCTCATTTGGATAATTCCATGGTGGTGCATCGGGGGAGTCGAGCTAGATTTGGAAAACAAGATCGAATGGTGGAAAGTGGTTGGAAACGTTCGAAAATGTATCATATTCGAACGGATGCGCGGTATCGGACGACACGAGCCGTGGAGGTTCTACCACGGACGTCGAGTATGGTTTCTAGAGATTGTTTTTATATTTATTCGCTTGTGAAGGGTGTTTCGAGTTTTTTGTGGCGGGGAAAAGGGGTGAGTAAAGAAGAGATTCGGAAAGCGGAAGGAATTGTCGAAAAGATTTTGCAACTCCATGGTGTCGTTTATGAAGCTTCTACCACTTGTCGTCCCGCTCCTCAAGGTCTTGAACCCTCTGGTTTTTTCAATCTCATTGAACCCCCTCATGGTCCTGTTCCATCTGGTACGGAATACTATTACGTTCCACCCCCCCGATTTCTCCGGTGTTCATGTACACAAGGATACTTTTCCATTGAAGAAATCACGCACTGGTCTCAAGTTGACTTGCACAGTGACACTTGCGTCATTCTTGATCCGGGTGCACCACGAAAATTGTGGGTGTGGGTCGGAAGTGGTACGAGTGACGTTGTCAAAAAGTTGTGTCGAAAGAGTGTTGAGGTTTGGTTGGAGCGATTGGACGATGGGAGGGTTTGTGGGTCTATTCCTGGAATATTTGGACCACCACCTCAACAAGAGGAATCAGAGGATTGGAAACACCGATCCACGCAATCGTTGTTTTCTAGTATGGAATCCCTAGCTTCTCCCACCCTTTCACGAACCCGTGCCCAGAAAGCCGCTCGAAAAGCCATTACGGCTGCATTTAAACGGGATCGAACGGTGGATGATGGGGATGTTGTGTGGGTTTTGGAAGGAGGTGAGATGGAGGAGTTTACGAGTTATTTTTGTGGGTGGGATGAGAGGTCTGTGAGGGGTGTTGGGGAGATTGGGAATGTGTTTCGGAATAATAGGCGGCCAAGGGGGGGTGGGAGTGATGCGCGGCAGCACGGGCGGACTGCTGATAATCGATCTGGAGGTGATGGTCGATCTGGAGGTGATGCTCGGTCTCCTGAGGGAGGTGACGGCGGTGAGCGAGTCGAGGTAGAACGAGGAGGTACAAGAGATGGGAATGGGAAAAAGAAGGGACGAGAAGACATGTTGAATAGGAGAGTTACGGTGCACATGTAAAACTATTTGTGAAATGGGCAAAACACTAGAACACACACCCAACAACAGACGTTGTCTTTTTTTTTTATTTTATTTTGTTTATTTTTGATGAAGAGTTTTTGGTTTTTACGTTCTCTCCAACCTATACAAAATGTAGGGAAAACAGTTGTGTGTTTTTTGGTCCTCGGCTTATTATCCATGTGTGTTGTGCTGCCCTTACGTTGAGGATATTCGGAATGAAAAGGTTTAATATACTAAAATCATGACACTACATATTCGTCAATGCAATATTTATCAAAAATACACAGAAATCACAATAAATGATTTTCACATCATGGATGTACGTATGGAATAGAGGGGGACTACCTGTCTGTCAGTATCTTGAATCTTGGAAGAGCAACTATATAAGAGTGTCTGTTTATGATCATACATAAAAAGAATTATATATATTTCATAAATCACAAAAAAGATATACAAACACACCATCACACCGCAACAGCACGACAATACAATATACATGTATATATGTACAATCCATTTACTCATCCACATCTTTATCAAGCGGATCTTCACTTTCACTGATCGGTTGAACTTGGAGGAGCAACAAGTTTTTATCAGGGGTAGACGTCCTCGAACGCGAGGGAGACGAAACAGGACTCGTTCGTTCAGACAAATCCACATCTCTAGTAGACTCCACCAACCCAGACTCTACGGTATCTCGATCATCCAAAACATGATGTTCGACAACACTGGATCCAAATTTCAATGCCAAGAGTTTAGCTGCCCAAGACCGGAACCGATCCGCCAACCATCGTGGAATGGCAAATGTATAGGAATCGCCTTGGGTGGTAAACAACATGCATTCATTTAACCGGTGTTCGGCCACATTGTTGATTAAAAAGTTTCGGACGTGGTGTTTTAGTTCGATGCGGGTGGGTTTTGGGAGGGTTGTGTAGGTTGGCATGATGGATTTTAGCATGCTTTTTTCGTACAAGGATGTTGGATGAGATAATGGGAGAGGAGGAAGAATGGGGGAGGACGGGGGGGACTTACTGGTTGTAACGAATCGGTTTTGGATCGTAGTCGGTGGTAGAGGTTGGGTTGGCCGGAAGAGTCGTACGACGGGCGGCTTCGTCGTCTGCGTCGTTCTCGTCAGAGTCGCTTGGGGTTGCTTCGTCGTCGTCGTCGTCGTCGCCATCGTCATCGCCGTCGTCGCCGTCGCCGTCGTCGTCTTGATCATTGTCGGCTGTGTCTTGGGTGAATGGGTTCTTGGTGGTGGCTTTGGGGGATGCGACTTCTTCTTCTTCTTCTTCTTCTTCTTCGGCTTCCCAGCTCGCATGACGAATGTGGGTGGTGGGTCGATGAGGGTGGTGGTGGTGGTGGGAGTGTTGGTAATGGGGGTGATGGCTTGGATGGTTTCGGTGAGTATTGTTGTTGTGGTTGTTGTGGTTGTTGTGGTTGTTCTGGTGGTGGTGGACCGGAGCATGTGGGTGAGGAGGGTGGAGAGAACGAGGGGATTTGGGTGAAGCTGGGATGGCAAGGGACGACGACGATGCCGACGAGGAGGCATGGGACGGAACGTTGGGTAACAAGGTAATATCCCCGTTACGAGGTCCTCGACTTGGCGGCAGTGGCGGCGGTGGAGCATTGTTTTTGAGCGTAATTTTGCGTACACCAGAAGGGTGAGGGCTCTTTTCAATATTGTCATTGTCATTGTTGTCGTCCTCATTGACGGAGATGACTTCGTGGTGATGTTTTGCCTCTAGATGGGGTTGAGGGCTCGAGATCCTGCTGCTCGAGCTAGGAAAGCTATCAAAATCCGTCTTCATCTTTTCTTCAAACCATTTCCAAAAGGCTTCTTCGACAATATCGGGCACGCCATAGGTTTTGCGGCCTTTGCCTACGCTTGCTAGACATCCATCCACGGTTACGCCATAGGCGGGCATGACCGTCTCCAAAAACACGCGAACTCCTGTCCGGATGCGATTCCACAAGGGCTTGGAGGCGGCTTCCAAGTAGGCCGGGTAGCGCTTTCGAATGAGTTCAGTCCAAACCGTTAATGGAGTCGTTTGAGGTCCTGTGGGAGACGTGTATGCAAGGACGTTGACGGGAGAATTGCTCGGGGCTTGGGGGGCCGTTGGACCGGATGCACTGCCAGAGTTGCCGCGTGACAAAAGAGGGGAACCTAGAGGAGAGGCGCTTGCCGAGTGGGTATGACGTTGCATGACTCGTTCAGCGGGCCCACCACTGAATCCATCGCCGCCATTGTCTCCTGCTGGTAGTGCTGGATCTGGATGTGGTGCTGGTGGTGGCATCTCGTTGCGCCTGTCGGCACGCTTGTCAAGCGGTCGGTCACTGTCGCGTGGTGGTGGTTTCAGCATCCTTTTGCTCGGGACATGGACCTCAGACTCATCCCGTTGACCGGCCTCGGCGGCTTGCTGCTGCTGCTGTTGCTGCTGCTGTTGCTTTTCCTTTCTCATGTACGCCATGTAGGGAAAATTTTCTTCAAACTTTTCCAGGTACTCGTCCCAGTACCGCTGAGGAATGGCCCAGGCCATCTTGTTTGTGTTGAGCGCCGGGTATCTTTGATCTGGAATGCCACGCGACTTTAGAAAGGACTTTGTAAAAATACTCATTTGCGGGACATTGGCGTTGAAGCTGGGATAGCGGGTTCGGACAAGATCCGTCCAGGCCATCAAGTCCCTCGGATAGCGAGGACCGAGAATGACTGGGCCCGAGGATGTGGGAGTGAGCATGGTTTTTGCTCGCTTGGAATCCGCGTCAGTAGACGAGACGGGACTTGTTGCGCTTGCTGTCGTCCAGGGCGCTGAAGCTCCCAGCGAGCTCCGCTTGCGTTTTCCACCCGACGACGTCGACGACGAAGAAGAGAGGAGGCCGGATTCGATTTGTTGACCGAACCAGTCTGCAAAATCCGCGTGGAGTTCACTGGGGATGGCATCGACGAGACTTGTTGATCTGCCCAGTCCACGAACTTTGCTTTCTGCAGCGCGCTCTGGACCTAGTTTGTTGACGAGATAGTCTTTGACAGCCGACTCTATCTGAGTGCGCTGAGCAGGTCTGAGCTGAGAGAGGGAACCGGGAAAGAGCTTGCGCAGGACCGACGTCCAGGCGACACCGGGCGATGCATTCAATGGATCCATGTCTTCTGGTTCTGGATCTGGTGTGCGCGAGGGACGGTTGTCGGGTCCTTCTGAGGCGACCGACAAGGGCTTGTTGGGCATTGCGACTAGATCGACGGGCGGGAGTTGATGCGGCATGGCGGGTACGTAGCCTCCTTTTCCTCGTCCGTCCAAGGGAGAATTCATGGTAGGCCCGTGTGACATGTTTTTTGACGGATACCATCCTATGAATTAGAAAATGAATAAATGAATTGTTGGAGAGAATGGCCATAACTAAAATCTATTTTACCAGAGTGGGGAGGATCCATGGCCATGCCGACGGCAGAGGCGGCGGCGGGTGGAGCGGGTTGGGACGTGGGAATCAAGGGGCGATGCATATCCAATGCATGTTGATCGGCCGCAACCTTTTCCAATTGAGCGATTCTCTCTTCCAGACGACGATTCAAGTCGATCAGCCTCTTGTTTTCATCCTGGAGCGGGGCAACCACGTCCCTCTCGATCCTGCGCAGTTCACTGTCTCGCTCACGAATGATGGCATCCCGTTCCCGAATGATAAAGTCCCGTTCCGATATTTCCCGAGCAGCGACGAGCCTCTCTTCGAGGGCGCGAATGTACTTTTCCTGATACGTCTCTGAGGAAGAGAGATGATGGACGGGCGGAGGTATGGATACGGAAGGGGGAAGACTGTTGTTATTATTATTATTTTTAGGATTGGGAGTGGAAGGCGACAAGGATTGAGGAGGAGGAGGATGAACCAGATGATGGAGGTGATGATGATGAAAGGGATCTTGAAGAAGAGGGGCAGGGGACGTTGCGTATGAGTGATGATGAGAAGGCTGTTTCCCTTGTTGTTGATAATGTTGTTGTTGTTGTTGTTGTTGAGATGAACCCGATGGATTAGAAGGTAATGGCATGGGAGGAGGAGGCGGCGGTGGAGGCTGCTGTTGCTGTGGTTGCTGTTGGCCATACGCAGGATTATGATGCGAATACATTTGGGGGATCGTCTTATACGAAAGAGGGAGAGCGAAAGGCAAGCAAGAGAAAGAGAGCGATGAGAGAGAGAGAGAGAGAGAAAGCGATGAGAGAAACAAGCAAGAAAGAAATACAAAATGTAAAAAGAAATGGATAAACTATAATCATAAAAAAAAAAGAGAAAATAAAAATAAATAAAAAAGCGCGTGCAAAAAGAAGAAGAGAAATAATAATGTTACTGCATGTAACCATTAGCAACAGATAGATATTGATTTTCATATGTCATATTTGTACATGGTGTGATTGAGAGAGAGAGATGGGAATAAAATGGGTTCATTAGAGAGAGAGAGAGACTATGCAAGTGTTTGTTATGGGTTATTATTCTCTCTTTGATTCTCTCTCTCTCATTTCTTATTACTCTCTTTCAATCACTCTCTTCTCTCAATCACACGTAAATTCCCCTCTCTCTCTCCTTCTCTCTCTCATCAAAATTATTTTTCCCTTTTTGGATTTATCTAAATTCCCCCCATACTATTCTCTCTCTCACCCACACTCTCGGGTTTGTTTGCAAAGCCGCTCGCATAAACGGATAAAGTTGATCATCTGCATTTACGCGATAAAAATCTATTCTTTGTGACACGTGCATTCATAGTCACGTGTGTATGTACATTTGACATTGCTATTTCTTTCTTATAGATGCACACACACACACACACACACACAGGAGGGGGGGGGGGGGGATCCCACGCCCCATGGGAGTTATGCTGATGCAGACAATTGTGCACAAGGGGATTTCTATGCAGACGTATGCACACAAGGGTTTAGAACCACAAGAATATAAAAATTATTGGTATTCCATGTGATGGATTACATAAAGAGGGATAACAGAGTGGGGAATAGATGAGTAAGCGTTCTAGAGTAGCAATTGAGTAAATGGGGAATAGTTTGGAAAGAAACAACCAAGGTGTGTGAAAGAGGGAGAGAGAGAGAGAGAGCGAGAAATCACGTGTTTAACTTGTAAATGTCTGAATGCTGGTAACTAGTGAGAATGCGTGGCGACAAACTTGACAATAGACACATTGTATTGTTACTTTCTATGGAAGCACTTGTCTCTATATTCTATATTTTGCATTTATACCCGTACATAATTGCACCATATCTTTTACACTTGCAGTCCTTTACGCATGCCGTGTATATAGATGCATTGCATTACTGTGCATAACTTTTGTCGTAGCACATCTCTCACCCACCCGCATACAGTCACGTGCTCGGTCATGTGCTTTGGAGGTCATTCTACAAGTCATTCGCTTGTTTGAACGCGTCTCGTGTTCCGCCCGCATTTTATTTCCTAACCCCCCCCTCTCTCGTTCTCTCGCTCTCGTTTTCTTTTTTTTTTTTCTCACACGCTCATCATCCTTGTCTTTCTTTTTTTTGACTGCACACACTCTTTACGTGCCTTTCACACACACAACACACACACACGGACACATACGAACTCTTGTACACGAGAAGAGCAAAATGGCTGAAACGAGTTCGACAAAGGGCCGCAAGGCCTCTGCGCGCAAGGCCGCCGTTCACCCCACATTCAAGGAAATGGTGGTTCAGGCCATTATCAACTTGGTAACGTTCTTTTATTGTTCTCTCTTGGCATTGCGTCTCGCGGTCGTGATGGGCAGGGGATGCAAGACGATCTCGTTCCATCTCTGCGCAATTGTCGCGTCCGCACTCGCTCTCGCGCGCATCCTGCAGACACGCCCATTCTGAATCTTCTACTTTATTTCTTCCCACGGTCTTTTTACGTGAATAGAAGGAACGCTCTGGCTCGTCGCGTCCTCAAATCAAAAAGTACATTCATGCCAACTACAAGGTGAGTTCGGTGACCATCCAAAGAATCAGTAGGGATCGCGGTCTCTTGTCGCGTAGATTGGCGGGCTCTTTGACGCGCGTACTCTTTCCGCTCTGCGTTTCTGGCCCGCGTGCGATACCCGATCTCACCCTTCCGTATCGTATCCATTTGTTTAGGGCTTGAACGAGAGATCCGATCTCAACATCAACGCAGCCATCAAAAAGGGTGTGGAAGACGGCGTCTTTATTCAACCAAAGGGCCCCTCGGGTCCCGTCAAGCTCAACAAGGCACCCAAAGGCACCGACGAAACCCACAAGCCCGAAAAAAAAGTGGTCAAGAAACCCCCCTCTAAACCCGCTGCCAAAAAGGCTGCCGCTGCCGTCGCCAAAGCCAAAAAGAGTGCGGCCAAGCCTGCTGCTGCTGCTGCTGCTGCGAAAAAGACGGTCGCTCCTGCCAAAAAGGCTGCCACCAAGGCGACCGCGACCAAGGCTACCACCAAGGCGACCACCAAAGCGACCAAGGCTGCTCCCAAGGCGAGCAAGGCAAAGACGGAACCTGCCAAAACGGCCCCCATGAAAAAAGCAGCTGCGCCCAAAAAGGCCAAGGCGGCGGCTACCAAAGCAGCTCCTAAAAAAGCTGCGACTTCTGGCACGACGAGCACCCGTGCTTCCCGTGCAGCCAAGCGAACCTAACGAAAAGAAAAAAAAAACATTGGAGGTTCCCGCCCCTTTTTTATTTATTTTTTTCTTGGTTCTTTTCCCCGCTCCTCCCATTGTTTTTGTTTTGTGAGTAGTGCTCCGAGTTTTTTGTTTGACAAAAACCTCTAGTCTACTGGCGTCTTGAGACGCCCGCCGCCCGTCGCCCTTTCTTTATACGCAAGCACAAAAAAGAAGGGAAAATGTGTACATATGAACGAAAAAAAAAAAAAAAGAGCTTGGTTTGCTGGGAGTGTTTTGCAAAAAAGCAAGAAAGAAACGATTTGTTTGTCTTTTGGCATTCGTCTTGTACAGAAATAATAATAAAAGTTGTAAAATAATTCTCGCATGGTCTTTTAAGAATGGGACATGCCTGTTCCCCCAACGACATATACTCGGGTCTTTTGAAACCTTCAAAAAAACTCCACAAGTCTATATGTATACATTTATATATAAAATACAAAAGAGACCAAGTCCGTCATCTCAACCCCAAAATCTCTAGAGTAAAATTTCCATTTTTTTTTTTTCAAAACCCAATAACAGCATCCACCAACTCACAAGCCAACCCAGCATGCTTCAACTTTTTCGTCCGACTCGCAACAGAATGGGAAAACGTACCCGCCTCCATTAACCCCCTAAACCCCACTTCCACCAACCGACTTGACAGCGGATCATTCACATCATTCAATTGCGGGATCGGTGGTGGTGGTGGTGCTTGTATTGTTGATGATGATGGTGCTGATGGGGATGTTGGAGTTGGTGGGGCGCTTCGACGGTGGTGAGGGGGTGTACCGGGAAACGTGGGTGAAACAGTCGGTGTGGTTGTTGATATTGTTGTATTATTATTAATGTTGGTGGTGCGGATGAGGATGAGTGTGCGGAGGATACGGTGGATGGCGTCGAGGATGACGAGGTTTTGGCTGGTGGCGAGGATGGTGTTCATGCGGGGTAAGAGTCCCTCTGATCTGTAAACATATACAACAGAGAGAATTAACACAAAAAGGTTTTGCACAATGATGATTCAAAAAACAAATCGCCATACTCACATTAATCCAAACACATCAGGAACAACCTCAGCAGCCTCCGCCAAACACTCATAAATCATTGACAACTCCCCATCCGATTCAGCCGTCTCCAACATGGTCGACATCATCCCCACCATCAAAACCGACACTTTGACATTTGCCATCCCAACTTGCTCAAACATGTTCCGATAACGTGGTTTACCCTTTTCTTGCTGTTGGTGGTCGACATCGGAAGTAGTATCAAATCCAGCTGCCATCCAAAGCTCCAAAGGCCGATCCGCAAATGGGAGGATAGGTAAAATGTATCCAACGCGGTTCAAAGAAACATCGGCTTGACTCGCTTGTAACAGAGTTTGCAATGCACCCGCCGTCGCAGTTTTGGTCATGGGATGTTTGACCCCTTTCAATACATTAGCGGCAATCGCAAACGGGAATGTATCCACCTTGAAAAGAATCCCCATAGAAGCATCCAACCGATCCAAAACATGTTCAAGGCCTTGTCGAGCTCGCATCAATGAAATAGATACACCTTCTTCCTCAAAACATTTCAGTTTATCCAATGTTTTGATCGTCACGACTGCCAGTCCCAGGGCGGCGTGAAAGACGGGCACATGGCCAATCTGCATTAACGACACCGATAACCAAAACATGGAACGGAGGTACCGAGACTCGGCAGAGAGACCCCCAACGATATTACACAAGGACATGACGATGCTCACAATGAGTTGACAGTCGTTTTCTTCAAATAGTGTCAATGCTCCGCGGAGAGCCACCAGGATTTGGTACAAGAGGTCATCGTCGACTTCGTCACGAGCGAGACAGCCAAGAACAATAAAGGCTCGGGGTTGGATGGCTGGATTGTATTGAAAGGCGGTACTGGCTACCAACGACATCCATCGCGCTTTCCAAATCGCAGATTGCTCTGGTAACCCAAACCAAAATCATCAATAATTGACCCGAATAAAAACAACATCCAACAAAATAAAAAACAAACCTGCAACACTCGTCCCAACCGTCATAACATCCAACATACATTTCACAACCATTTCCAACCCACTCAACGGAACATCTCTCGCCACTTCTCCCACCCCAGCCTCCCCATGCACACCAAACGGCAACGACAATTTCGGATCCGCTAACTCACTCATCAACTCTCTCAACCCATTCCGTCCATCCGTATCCAATCGCCCTGATGTTCCCAAAGCGTGCACAGCGTTCATGACGATCCCATGGACACTGTTTCGAACCAATGGGGATCCAATCCCAACCACCATGGAAACAATGTAAAATAACTCTGGCAAGACGTGGTCGATGTTGTTCCAGTCGTTAAAGGACATGACGAGGACGAGGCGGATGAGGACGGCAATTTCCGTCCACGCTGCGTGATCAACCAATGTCGAACAACATCGATAGGATGTAGATGCGATTGCCCGACGTAATCGGGAAATGACTTTACCGGATACGGGGTACACTCCTGATGACGCCAAGGTGTGCACCGTGTTGGCAAGCTCTTCAATATCAGAAGGTCGTGCCGCGCTGTCCACTGCAACCTGTAAAAGGAGGTCAACAACCGTAGGGACAAGAGACTCAACTTGAGCAATCGTCGCCCATATCTGTGACTGAAAAAGATTGGACAACTACACAAAGCACAATAGAGTTACTATGTTTTAGCATTCACACACAACAAAAAAGAAGCAAGCACACATTACCTCTTGCTCCTTGACAGTCACCCCCAACAACGCCTCCAAAATCTTTATCAATTTCCCATCCACTCTAGCCCCATCCTCCAAATAAACCGCCAAATTCGGTAACCACGGACCCAAATACTGAATCGTAAACCGCTTTAACCGAACAGGACTCGCAGCGAGTCCAAAGGCGGCTTCGCTCAAAAATCCTAGTGTGAGTTCGGGATGCGACTTTGCGAGCCGTTTACTAATGTCCAGTACAAATGACTCTATACTTGAGGGTATAAATGCACCTAACCAATAACAAACAAAAAAATTCAGCATTTGTCAGTGGACAACAAAAAAAAAAGGCATGACCCCCACCTTTTCCAGATAAAACCCGCTCACCCCCACTCGTCCCCACACTCACAGAAACCCCAAACTCGCCACAAATAGCACACAAAAGCTCATAAGCGGCCCTCCGAACACCCACATCCTCACTCCCAAAATTCGTAAAAGCCGCATTCAACAAGGCCCCAACGGTCGTATCCGGTTGTAACCGATCCCGCTGTTGCAATGCCATAGTCCCATTCACGGAATTCAAGGAACTGTTGCTTGACCTCCCGAGTCGGAATCGACTCAACATGGTCTGCACCGTCTGGATAATAACCTCGGCTTTGGGTGACATGAATGTAATGCTCACGGTCGTACCTCGTGTCGGACCACTTCGTTCAAAGACTTTGAGAACACACTCTTGCTCACGTCCAGGAAGGATATCCTCAATCTCGGAAACGTGATAAACATCGTTTAGTGCCGTCCCACCGTCTCGTTTGGCTAGTAAAATCGACACGGATTCCGCATTGACTTTTAAAACCACTGGGACTTGGACCCGGTACCCCTTGACCCAAGCCACTGGTGAAAAAACAATCGTGTCACTCTCTTGCTCTGACGGTGCTGGGTAAGTTGGAGGTCGCTGTATCGTTGGAGCTTCCACCTGCGTTCCACTAGCAGGATCCATCTTGGCTTGGACGTCCGGAGCAGGTCCCAATCGCGCAATGAGATTGGATAACTCGCCAAATGTGCTCTCACTCAGGACGGATTTCATACTTGCGTCTCCGCCACTAGAAGATTTGGCATCCAATCCGGAGGTACTCTTGCTGCTCTTGTGAGTTGCCTTCCGAAGAGATGGAGACGGAGGCGACGACGAGCCAACAGATTTGGACGGCGATGGACTCTCCTTTCCACCCAAATGAGAAACTGAGCGTCGGGTCAGCCGACTCGCAGCGGCTGCAAGGGTACTCTCGCTTCTAGTGGACGCAGTCACCACAGCCATTGCTGACGCATGTTGCTGCAACCGCTCGATACGATCAAGGTTCAACGCCAAGTGCCGGTGCAATCGCAGCATGTCCAGATCGCTCACTCCGGTCTCAGTAGTCGGTCGTGGTCCATCTGTTGCCATAGGCGCCTGTAATTGTGTGTTCTTTTTCGTTTATTAACCATTGCTTGAGAGCGGCGTGAAACACACTTTTTCAACACTTACCGAAACATCTCTGAGAAACCCATGAACTCTAGTCACATTCTCCCTCAAAACATCATTGACACCGCTCATGAATGCTTCCTTGACACCAAAAAGCACATTGTTCGCCAAGTTTTGAACCACTTTGGTAATCAGGACGAGTCCTCTCCGCAACTCTCGGCGCAGCTCACTTGCTTCAACAATTCCATGCGTCTCTGGGGAGACGATAGCAGGGCAAAAGAAACGGAGGAACAGAAATCCTCCGACAGCCGTTACACGCGCATCAGGGAAGCGCGATCCGACCAACCGCCATACAATCGCACATGCTTCCCGTAAAGGTCGAGGAAACCGTGCAGGTCCCGGTCCAACGATACTATCCAAGATTCCCTGAGCTACAATTTTCAAGTTTCGGAGATTCGTCTCCTGGTTATCCGTTGGTGACAGCTTGACGGGATCTACTTCAAAGCTCATGGGAGGGCATCTTTCCGTGAGTTCCGAAATGAGCGGCTTTAACGTTCGAACGAGGTATTCCTGCCCTTGGGATTTTGCGTAAATCGTGAGCAACCTCGTCGCCATACTATTCCGACGGAACAAATTCGCTGGCGTGTCCGTATTGTCTACCTCTCGCTTTACCACCTTTTCTATAAGGTCCAACGCTTTCCCACGCCCCTCAAACACAGCGACAAGGACACCAGCAACCTCATCTACATCAGCTACAGGCGCAACTTCTCCCATCGCAACAGCAATATCCAGTCCCCCTTCCTGCTCAGTCAGTAGCTGTACGAGCTTTGCATACCGGTATTTGGTCATTTCCCCCGCGTCACCGAGTCCCCCAGACAGTCGCTCTTGCGCGTCCCCGATTTTTAAGAAATTGGTCAACACGGCCGCAAAAGCCCCTCGTATCGATTCATCTGCGTGGTACATCATATTTAGAGTAGGGCCGAGTTGTACATCAATGTTTGAGGCAAGGAGATTGGTCAAAGCTTGAATCGTGTGCTCACGCAGAGCATTGCTTTGATGCTGCTGAGATGCTGTCGGATCTTCTTCAGACGCCCGCGATCGTAGCAAAACCTTTAGCAAGAATTCAAAGTACTTGCTAGCGGCGGAACCTTTAGATTTCGGGCCGTCCCGTCGTCGTTTCGAGAGCAAATACCCTTGTAAGGGGAGGTCATCCAGTAGCGCCACCATCGCCTTTACGCACGCCATATCTGCATCCCGCTGGAGCTTCATGACGTTGGCCACGGCATCCTCAGGGATATCCATATACTTACTGACCCCCTCGACCATTTTCCAACCCATGAGAGCTTGCAAAATGTCCCTCCGAACACGCATCTCTCCGGTAATTCGAATGATATCCCGCTTTGATATCAGAGCCTCCACTGCCAAACACAACCGAACTCGAATCCTCAGGCTCGTTGGGTCGACAATGACAAGCGTGTCCAAATACCGTAACAGCTGAGCAATGACGGAACCCAAATCCACGTCACCCAACAGTGCAGAGGACAAGACACTGCCAGCATCTGGCCTGTCAAAGGCCAACCGCAAAACCGATGCGAGATAGTCCACAAACAGAGTGTTTTTGGCTGTAAGCCGCGGTTCTTGGGTCGCCGAGTCAAACAATTGATTTGAGGTGAGATGCGAGATGTGGGTGAACAAGATTCCTAAACAAGCTTATTAGAAAACCGAATACCACAGTCTTTCCACAGCTCTTCCACATGACTTACCGTACATGCCCTCTCCCAACTCTAACCCCAAGCATTCCTTTACGGCCTCCCGGATAACCACAGAATCGCATACCATCAGTTCAACAAGGTCAGCAATAAACTTTTCGACAGTGGCCCTCGCACCACTGTAGGCACTCATTAGTTGAACGCCTACCATCCCCGTCCATGGTACGGATACGCCCATATTTGCTTCGGGGTGCTCAAATACCAAGGCCGTTGATCCTGTTGATTTTCGTCTGTTGGCTGTTTTGTCAGACGTACCAGCTGCGGTCCGCCCAGATGTCCCATGCTGCATGGGCAGTTGGGAATGTTGCTGTTCGACAGCCATGGCACTCGCTTTCAAACAGACACCTCCTAAGGCGCACAGGAATGCCGTATAGTTGATCCATTCACCCTTCTCGTCCCCGGTGAACATTGCTAGGCCAATGCCACTCCCTCCTCTTTTGAGCTTCTTTCGACCATCATCTTCATTGTCTTGTGACCCAACCGTAGCAGTCCCTCCAGTCCACAATCCCGCATCGTTACCACCGGATTCACCCGCAGCGCCACCAGTATCAGTGCTGTTTGCCGTGCTCGCAGATACTGAGCGTCTTCTTCCTGATGGTCCTATACCAGACGTTTTCCAGCATTTGTAGACTTCTTCCCATGCGCCCATGTTGCCCGGAGTCGGAACGCTGATGGATCTCAGGATAGCTCTAGCACGCTTGTAGACCGCCTTTTGCCCTCCTGCGCCTCCACTGCCAAGTATAACCCGACAAACTTCCCGGTACACTATCAGATTCTCCATGAGAGGGGATGTTGCGGCTCCTCCGCTAGCAATGTCCTTTGATTCGCCAATCAATTCGCCTTCTTCCAAAGCAGCTTCCAGCCAAGAAGCCGCTGCCTTGCCCACAACCGCCGCATCACCCCAACTCCCAGCAAGTGCCACAAGAATAGCCACTTCCATAGCCACACTTGCCGCAAACCGATCAGGAATCTCCATCCCACTTCTCGATATTACAAGCCCGCGCCTCATCAGAGTCCTGTTCCGCAGCCGGGTAAGCTCACTACCCAGCGTTAACAGCTCCTTCCCTTGTTCCGAGCTGCTGGTCAAATCTTCCAAGACAGCACGAGAAACACCAAGGAAAATTTGACTCGTTGAACGCCAAAACACTTTCATTGACTGTTCAGTGATTTGGGGGAAGTCCATTGTAACAGCTGCCGGAATGCGCCAGTCCGTCACAGACCCGTCCCAATAAGGAATCATATCCTGGGACATGAGCCGAGTTAGGACATGGCCCGCCAGGTCACGAATCGAAGGGTGTGGATCGAGCAGGCAAGATGTCAATCCGGCAAAGAGGTGACGCAGCTCTTCCGCGTTCAGAACGGTTGCTTCTTTCTACATGCGCACAATAAAACACATGTTATGAATGCCATCAAACATATAATAAAATGCAACTATGCACTGTCCGCTTCTCACCGCTAATGCCAACATCGGACATCTTGTCCACATTCTGAGTATGTCCCACACAATTTGAAATCTCTCATTAGCTTCCTCTTGTTGTGCTTTCCGGAGTTTGCGGTCGGTCTGAGACGCTCGGAAGCCGCCCATTTTCTTTCCTTTAGGATCAATCGTATGCCGGTCGCGAGTAGTACTCTCCTAAGTAGGATGGGAACATGTGTTAACGCAAGGCCTTCCGAAACGTCAGCCGCCAAACTTACAGTGAACAAGTGCCGGATGTGTCCAGCTAGGCTTGCATCCACAGTGGGATTCCACGGCAGAGGATCTCCCTCTGCAACAATGCCCCAAAATGCCTTAACAAATGCCACCTTATACAGTGGTGGCGCGCCAGGATCAGTCATAATGGCCACAACTGTTCGTAAAGTGC